ATCAATGGTCTTGGATCAGATAATTTTTATTCTTTCAAATAATTTTTAACTTTGTCTGCATCATAACAATCTCCTTTTTCTGTAATAACCCTCTCTAATTCTTTAATTTAATTGCATTTAGCAGCAGCTTCAATATATTTATAATAGATATCCTTATCAGATGTTGTATTAATCAAAGATCCTAAAAATAAGTAGACTCCTTCAAATGCACTAACTGATTCAAATACCTTAATGCATGCAGGGATTGTTAATCTTTAATTATTTTAAACTGCAACATTAACAACAACTTATAAGTTCTATCTATTGTGTCTTAATAAATCTTAAAGGCATTATAATGTCAATGCAGGATCAACTCTTGATAGGAAATTGATAATGAATTCAGGAGGAAGAGCATGAGTATTAAGAATAACTCTTTTAACATCCTTTGGATCTGAGTAATTTTCAAGTGATCTTTGATATAGACCTTTTTATTCACATAATTAGGCAACTCTAATTCTATCAAATTGTGTCCAGATATTCATTTATAAAATGGCATCAGCAACTTGAGCAGCAGCTTATAGATTCAAGCATAAAACTTTAGTTTAGAGTGGTCCATCCTCTGCTCTATTGTTTTTCATACACTCAACTAAGAAGGCTGTCATTTCTGGTAATCTTTAGAATTATTCAAATAATTCTGCAATTTAATGAACATTGATGCTTTGATCTCTTTGATATAAAGATTTAGCCATAGCTAAAGCTTATTCTGGAGATGACATCATCATATTTCTTAACATAGCCATATAATCTGTTGATACTCCAAATTATTATTGTAATTGCATAGCTAATTCGATTTATCCAGTTTCCATATAACATTATGCTAATTTTTAATATGATTTAGATAATTTGTAGATTTAAATAGCTAAATTAACATCATATCTTTTTAAGAGATCTCCCAATTCATCTGATGGTTCTAATTTATTTTATGCAATCCATTATTCAACAAATTGTTTTCTACCTTATTATAAAATAGGTCCACATAATTCTATAGCTTCAAATTTATTTAATGTTCCTTTTTCTAACAAAGTTTGGAAATAGATAATAAGTGGTTAAGGTTATCCTGGTTATTATTACATTTATTTGAATTTAGCAATACTTTCTGGATTTCTAAGAACTGTTCCAGGGGCACTAGCAGCAATTTTAGCAGCACTTAAAGCATCACCAGTTAAAATAGCCTTATTGAATTAATCAACAAACATATTATCTGCTCCAGGAAGCTTATATCTACTAGCTAAGCGGAATCCCAATTAAATAACATCTGGAATATGTCTGCAAGTATTAATTAAATAAGACACTAGTTAGTCATCATTTACAGAAATAGTATAGACAATACCTTCCTTACCAATAATATGATATTATCCTTAATTAACATTTGGGGCACCTACGAAAACATTTTCATTACAGATTCTCTATTGGATTATAAATATAAAATTATACTTCTCTAAATATTAAACTAGCTGTGCTTAATTCATAGACAGTTAAAAATGAAAATTTGCTTATAACATAGATTAATCCATATCTTTAATTAATATGCATTAAGACTGGGAAATCTGTTGGATAATTTGGATCAGTTTAAACTTCAACTTATTTTTTGTATTTTTAGAATCCATTAGGTGGTACTCCAATTTCTGAAATATGTAATCTGCTTGTTGTTTCACCTGACTTTCTCTCTACAAAACAGAATAAACTGCTTTTATAGTCATCTGTATGAATCAAAGCATCTCCAAAACAACAACAATGTCCTTCTAAGATTTATTATTTTGCTTATTCAATCAAAAATAATTGAATGTGACCATTAATTGTTCTACCTCCATCTGGTGTTGAAATACCATATAATGCACACCATTTTTCATTTCCTTCTAATCCATATCCAATGATTTATACTGGATTCTCTGATGATAATGCTCCAGATCTAATTTTATTATAATTATATATGTTACCTATCCATAACTTTAACTTATTATTCACCAGGGTTTGTAATATTGATATGATAAACTGCTGTTGGAGTAACATATGCTAATTTTTATGGATTTACCCATCTCCAAAATACTATAGTCTCATTCAATTCAACATTCTTAATTCTTTATTTCTCATCCAAATTGAAGATTTAGATCACAGTTGAATTAGGTTATTCTCCTGCTGCTCTAAGAGCAATGATATTCTTTTCTGGATGCATTATAGCAGAGTCTGCTTTGTTTGGTTTACGAGAAATCAATTGCTTAGTCTCAAAATTGAATTGTAATAATTGAGTGTCTCCATTAGGGGCTGTTTCTCTAATTGTAATATATTTATCTGATTCAAAGAAAATTTAGCCAAATTTGAAATTGGTTTGACTAACACCCAATTAAGAAAATCGGTAAGCCTCTTAAACTCTTATTGGTCTGATTGGATTCATAAAAAAATAAAAATTTAAATTTCACATTTCCACATCATATCGGTATTTGAATTAGCATAATTTAATAATAATATAATAGGTATTACGCAAATAATATTTATATATTTACATACACACTATTAAATTTAATATGAAAATTGTAATCATCATCTACATAAGAATATATATTTAATCTTTATTGATATTCTATATTTTAAGATTTCTATTTATTTTCATTATTTAATGATTGTGTATTATATTTATATATATTAAAAGGTTGCATCAATTTATAATAATACATCTTTAGATAATGAATTAATTAATTAATCATTCCTTTTACTTTTTCAAATAAAAAATGATTCTAATTTTAAGAAAGTAATGAAAAATAATTATGTGTTATTTATACAATTATCAATGATTTTGTGATTTATGTTTAGTTATAATTTAGTTTGATATCCAATTTATTTATTTACTATCTTCTCTTAAATTTTCAGATTAAATAAGGTTTGATTATATTTTATTATTTTTTTGATAATATCTTATTTGAATTAAGTTAAAATAAAGTCATAATAACTTAATTTTATTTCATTCGAATATGTACAAATTGCATGTTCATTATCAAGATTTATGATCATAAATTTTTATTAATATGAATAAAAGTTTTAAAAGTTACCCATCCTTTGCTGCCTTTTAGATTGAGCAATCAAAATCAAATAGGTAATATTGATAAGTATAACAGTTTGAAAAAAGATTACTCTATGTTTATCATAACTCAGTTTATGATTTGACGGATTTCATAGATAAACATCCTGGAGGAAGAGGTCCTTTAAATACATATAAAGGTAGAGATTTAGAAAATGTATAATATTATGTTTAGATTATAGATATTTTTCAATCCCGCAATACATAAACATAGTTAATAAGCATTGCATACATTAGAGCGGTATAAATGTGGAATAATAGAGAACAAACCTATTTAATAATAATCTTAATAATAATAAGCTATGTTAGGCTCAAAATCAACAAATGTAACATAATCTATTATGACAAATAAATCTCAAAAAAATACACCATAAAAAAATGATTCTGATAAAAAACCTCAATAAAAATCATAATCTGTTAAACCTAAAGTATAAAAATAAGAAGATAGACTAAATCAATCTATGAGTAAATTAAATCAATCTATGACAAGCAGTGTTAAATCTTAATTTTTACTCATACCAACATCATAAGAAATACTGATGATACAAAAATAAAAATAATAGAAACTAATTAAATAGTGGAAATAATCTGAAATTGAAGAATTAAAAAGATAATAAGCAGAAGTTGAAAAATTAAGAGATGAAAAAAATGATGATCGAAAAACATAAAGTGAAATCTTAGTATCTACTCGTAAGAAATCAACTAATCCTTATTATTTAGCATGGCTTGAAAGATAACAACGATAGGAATTATAAAAATAAGAAGAATCTAAAAATTCTAATATCCTTCCTGCTTATCTCACATAATCTAATGATTAAAATATCATTATGTTTGAAGATACTAATAAATTTTAATAAATATCTTATGATTTTGAAAAAAAAAAATAACATGACTCAAAATAATCCTAATCAGTCATTGTAGAAAAAACTTAGAAAAAAGTTAATACTTATTATGAAGAATGGAAGAGAAGATAAAGTTTAAAAAATTAAGATTATTAAAAAGAATAATAATAATAATAATAAGAAAACAATCAATTATCAAAATAGCAATCAATCATTTTCGAAGAGAATGAATCATAGATTTCTGGATAACCATCTTCTATGAATAATAGTTTCCAAAGAACCTATTCAATGAGTTAAAGAACTATTGTATAAGAAGATCCTTAATTAAGTGTACCTGTTTTTGCTCCAAAGTTCATCTCTCCTATTAAAGCCAAATTTGTATTTAGTTCTAGTATGAAAAAACTAGAAGGTAGATGAATGGGAATAAATAAATTATAACTACTATTTATTATTTAATTTTATAATATTTATTTATTAATATCATATACAATGAATGATCAAATATTTAATAGAGAAAAATTATTTTTGAAAAATATACATCAATATCTAAATAGTTTCATTCCTTCTAAAATGAGTATTTTATATTTAAGGCTTTTGATTATTTTAAGATTAATAATTTAAATTCAATTTGTAATTTAACATAATGTATAATATATGCTATTAATTATGTTTATTTTAAGAGAAAATCTTATAAAATTACTGAATATTATATATATAAAAATTTATTATATTTACAAAATATATGATCATTTCAAAATTTATATACTATTTCTTTTTAAAAAATAATAACAATATAAGATTATTAATATATCTTAATCATAGTTAATTTTAATTTAATGAATATTTTTAATTGATTTTATTACAATGATAATAGAGTTATAATTAATATAATCTTTATATTTATTATGCCCTTATTAATTAAAAATGAAATATATTTTCTTATTGATTAAATAATATAAAATTCTAATGTGAATGTAATTAAGAAGAAAATTAATATGAAAATATTTTAGTTTATTTAAAAATTTTCTTTATTTATAATAATAATTATGAATGACATAAAACTTCTTGAAAGAATGCCAGCAAGAAAAACAAATATCAAGATGAATTTTGTTATAAATGGTGTATTTTCATTTCCTGAAGAATGGAGAGTAACTGATGAAGCAAATCCTAATTTATTTTAATATTCAGTTGCATTTCTTGATCAAAGATTGTCAGGTGGGAAAATATTACCTAGAGAATTAACTGAGAAAGAGAAGAGAGAAATTGAAGAAGCAGAGGCGGCAAAGAAAGCAAAAAAACAACCAAAAAAAGATGCTAAAATAGAAGTAATATGAATTATTATACATAGCCTCCTAAATTAACACCAGAAGAGGAAAAAGAAAAGCTTCTTAAAGAATAAATGGAACTGGAAGAATAATAGAGACTTAAGGCTGAATGGGATGCTTTGACAGAAGAATAATAATTTTATAGGACTCAAGAGGATCAATTCAAAAGTCCAAGCATAAAGTTTGATCAGAATTAATTTTCTTAAGAATTAACAGGATAAAAATTAGTGATATAATAAGAAAGAGTAAGAGTTGATAAAGGAGAATGGATATTTTTATATAAATCTCCAATTCCAGGTGATGAAGAAGTAGCAAAACTCAAAAAAGCAAAACCTAAAACTTTAAATATCAATGATTTGAATATAATTGTATTTAAAGCTTGGATAGATTATATACCATTTTAAACTTCAGGATAGATTGAAACTATTCAAAGAATAAAGTTTACATAATATATGGATGAATAATCTCCTCCTGAAACACCAAAACCTAATATAGAAACTATGTATATGTATTTAAAAATCAATTTATCTCAACCAATAACTCCTATTAGATATATGCCATAACCAACATTCTAAGATTTAATTCCTTTAGCTCCTGAACCTTAACCAATACCATTAAGTTAATAATGTATTGAAGAGTTGAGAAGTGATTTATAAGTCATAATTGAATCATTAGCAATGGAATATTCTAATATGTTTTCGAAAGATCTAAACAAATATCAAAATGAAAAATAAAGTAATATGTTAATGACTCATAAGAAATAATCACTTTAATAAAGAAAAGAACACTTTTTATATGATTTCAATATATCTGGAAAATATAAAATTTTAAAGGAAAGAATAAAAAAGAGTATAGTTAAGTTATGCAGAGATAAGTTTGGTAAATTTGGTTCAGTAACAGGTATTTCAACAGATTAATCTGATTAATTTTATTCAGAATTATATGTTTTTTTAATGGAAGAAATGAGATAAGTTTTAATTAATATGGTAAGAGAGAATAAAGAAGCATTGTAAGAGGATTTTTCTCATTTATTATCAAAGAAAAAAACTATTTAGGATGTTGGATTTTAAGAAATTATAATAGAAAAAACAAATGAAACTAGAAAACAATAACTTGAGAGATTATGTTAAGAATATGAAATTTTAAATAGAACAGAAGAAGTAGAAAAACATTTAAGAGATTTAAATTTAATAAATGCAAAAGATCAAGATGCATTAATGAAATTTGCATTCTTCTGTCTTAGATGTGCAAAAATAGAATAAGCAGTAACACTTGTAGAATAAGCTTTATCTTTTGATGGTCATAATCAAAAAAATTAATTATTATTAGCTGGTTTATATTAAAAAAGAGAAAAGATTTCAGAAGCTAAATTTATATTAGAATTATTATTAGATTAAGATCCAAATAATTTAATATATCATTTATTTTACAATCTTATTATATAATAATAAGACTAAGAATTAGCTGATTTCATGATGCAAAAAGCTGAAAGAATATGGCTTAGACAATTGAATCTAATTAAATAAGAAGGAATGCATCATGAAGATCCTTAATTATTTGATATTCCTTGGATAAAGATTCCTATTCCAGTTCCAGATAAACCTGAAAAAGATAAGGCTATTTTAGAATAAAGAGAATAATAAAGAATTGCTTGGGAGAATGCTCATAATTAACCATAATTGACTGAATAATAATAAGATCAAATGATTTTATAATTGGTAGAATTCTTTGAGAATGCTTGTCTATTTGAATAAGCTGAATAATCATTGGGTCTATTAAATGATTAATCTCATAATAAAATTGCTATGTTAAGAGCAAAGATATTTTTATATAAATCTGAATATTCTCAATGCTTAGATTTAATTGAAAATATGTTAGGTATTATCATATAATATATTTAAAGAATTTAATCCTGAAAATTTAGAAATACGTATTGAATATATAAAAATATTGTTTAAAAGTTAATCTTTTGATAAATGTGAGAAATAGATTAAATTTGTTTTACCAAATCCATAATTGAGAGAAGATTAGATTACTTATTTTAGTATGTATTTGATGTTAGGTTCAATTTATATAAATGAAAAATAATTTGGTAATGCTAGAGCAGTATTCACAAAGGCTTGTTAAATTAAAGAGAATTCATCATTGTCTTGGATGGGATTGGGTATATCTTCTCATGAATGTGGTAAGTATAAGGAGGCAGAAGATGCTTTAAGAATGGCTAATCTTTATGAACCTACTAATGATACAGTTTGGGGATATATTGCATTAAATTGTTTAAAAGATGGTAAAAGATTCAGAGATGCTAATTCAGCTTTGAAAGAAATGAATAAGACAGATGTATTAAATACAAAATATTTAATTAGACTGGTTAAGTAAATTTAATGGTTCGTTTAAGCAAAGAATTTTATAATATTGAAGAATATTTAACTGCTAAAGAATTATTATAAAAAGCAATAAATTGGGCTAAGATTTAAGATATGTTATCAGAAGAAATTAATCAATTTGAGATTTAATTGGCAGAGACAAATGAAAAACTTGGATTACTATAATAAGCTATAGATATATATTCAGAAATATTAAATGGAGAATGTGGATCTTTAGAAGAACACTTAAAAGAATAAATAAATAGATTACATTTCCAGATCAATATAAAATATTGATAAAATATAATAAATATTTATATATTATTAATATTAAATTATGAAATCCTTGTTCAGATATCATTTCATTAACAAAGTCAATATTTCCTCAATCAATCAAAATACATTGATTCCTTTATATAAGACATCAATATCAGGTATTTGTATTATATAAATATTATTAGATTAGAAATTAAATAATTTTTAATAATCTTATGTACCTTTTAAAGAATATTTTCAACTTGTTCCCATCTTTCTTGAAAGGTATTTGTTTGATCATGGTAAACATTTTGTTGTTGGAATGTAATATTCAAAAGAAACTAATCTATTGTAATTGAAATGTTTAGCACATTCAGGAATTTATACTAAATATGTTAGATTTAATTATTATTTTAGGTTGTTCCTTAAAATATTATACCTGTTACATTTGGTGATTACAATTAGAGTTGTAGATTTAATTTATTTGAGCACACTATTCGAGTTGACTATGATATGATTTATTATAACAATTAGCAAAATGAATTTTACCTATTTGATAGAGAAGGTAAATGGGAAGAAGTGGAGATTCCAGAATTATCAATTCAAAAATTATTTGATGAGAAGAAATATTTGAACGAAGTTTTCAGATGATCAAAAATAAATAAATATATAAAAATATTAATTATTTTTAACAACCATGAGACCTAGATTATATCAATAAGACAAAAAAATTATTGTATATCTCATTAATATCATAGAATTATTCTTTTGACTCAAATCAATATGGGTTTCCCCAAACAACTAAGAATAGAGAAAATTAAAAAAGTATGTTTTAGCCTGAATTCTCTATTCATGAAAGTTCGTCTCCCAGAAGAAGACCATATAATCGAGTTAGTATTCTATATATATAATTAGGTTTCATATAAAATTACTCCATCTATTAATTTCTCTACTCAGATTTCATAAATTTCTAAAAAACTCACTTAACCAAAATCTAATTTGACAGACAAATCAGGTTCATCTATTGAAATCTAAAAGGATATGGAAATAATCTAAGATTCTAAATTATAAACTTCTCAAAAATAGCATTTTCATACATAAAATTATTAGTTAAAATTAGAGACAAAATCAAAAGAAATCCAAACTGATCTTAGTGATTTTTAAAAGAATGATTCCATTGAAAGAGTACAAGAAGCTAAAGTTTTAAAATGCATCCAATACCCATCATTTTATTCAATATATGGTAAAGGAAAAAAGGCAACCTCTAGAGATCAGCATTCATTATAGGTATAAAATCATTTTCTTAATAATTAGAAAGTGTATTCCTACATCTTAGATGAATCAGGTTCACCTAAAAATTCAAAACCTTTAGATTGGTCAAAAATTAAAGTTCCATTAAAAAATAATGAATGTTTAATAGAGTTTGGTAACTACCTAACATAATTTGAAAAATAAGAAATTTTAACATATAAGGATGTAATACAAAATGATTTACTTTAATTTAGATTTATTATATAGGATATTCAGCTAAAAAATAAAATAATTAGATGACGTAGTTCAATGAAGGATTTGATAATGAAAAAGGGGAATATATAATAAATTTAAATGATCATATTGCATATAGATTTGAAGTGTTAGAAATTATAGGAAAGGGAAGTTTTGGTTAAGCACTTAAAGTATTTGATCATTAGAAAAATGTTATTTCTTGTTTAAAGATAATTAGAAACAAAAAAAAGTTTTATAATTAATCCTTAATAGAAATTTAAATTCTTACATATATTAAAGATAAAGATCCTGAAAACCTGACAAATATCATCAAGATTAAAGACTATTTTGTATTTAGAAATCATGTGGTAAAATTCTAATGCTAATTTTAAGTGTTTGAATTTTGAATTACTATCAATGAATTTATATGACCTTATAAAATTAAACAACTTTTCAGGATTACAATTGGAATTGATAAGAAGATTTGCTATTTAAATACTTAATTCATTAAGTTTTCTTTATAAACACAATATAATTCATTGTGATTTAAAACCAGAAAATATATTACTTAAACATGCCAATAAAAGTGGAATTAAAATAATAGATTTTGGAAGTAGTTGTTTTGAAGATCAAAAGATTTATACCTATATATAATCAAGATATTACAGAGCCCCAGAAGTTATACTAGGAATTCCATATAGTAAAAGCATTGATATGTGGAGTTTTGGATGCATATTAGCTGAATTGTATTTAGGATTTCCTTTATTCCCTGGAGAGAATGAATAAGAATAAATTAGTTTCATATTAGAATTATTAGGTCCTCCTGATTCAGAAATGCTTTAAGTATTAAATTGATTATTATTGATAAGAATGCTGAAAGGAGGAAATTGTTTTTTAAAGATTACCATCCTTATAAACCATTAATTTACTAAAATAAAAGAGGAAAGGTAAGAATACCTGGAAGCAAGAATTTGAATAGTATTTTAAGATGTAATGATAATTTGTTTGTTGATTTTTTATCAAAGTGCTTAGTTTGGAATCCAAAAAAAAGAATCAAACCAATAGATGCTTTAATGCATGTATTTATTTTAGAAGGATTACCCAGTTAAATTAGACATCAACATATTCAATATATAGAAAATGAGTATTAAACATTTATATAGAAAAAAAATCCTTTGTATTAAGGTGAATAAGGAAAATAAATTTCAATGAATTTTACTTCAGAACCAGAAATGTATCATAATTCAAAATTGAAAAATTAAGTTTTAACTTAAAAATTTTCTTATATTAAATAACATTCATAAGAAAAAGAATCTGAGAAAGAGGTTGAAAAAGAAACTTAAAATGTATCCAAAAGATTATCTTTATCTTTTCATTCAAATAAACACTCAAATTATAAGCAACCTTTTTTATTTAATTTACATCCAGAAACAACTAAAAATTTAATTAAAAAAAAGATTAATTGATTAATATAATTTTTTTGTATTTAATATATATATATATAGATTATTATTTAATAATGGATATAATTATCTTTTTTTAATCTATATATATATATATTATTTTAAGAATAATTATTAAATATAATAAAATAATATTAATGATTATAAATAAATTTTTTGCTGCATTTTCACAACTCATTAGTAAAACTTCCTAAGTAGTGAAGCAATCTCTAGTAAAATAAAATTTAACACAATCTGAACCAATGAGATTAAGTAAATACTTGGCTTAAACAAGTGTATGCTCAAGAAGAGAAGCAGAAAAAATGATTTAATCTGGGATGATATTGGTTGATGGAAAGAAAGTAGAAAGTAATATACCAGTTACTTCTGAAAATAAAATACAAGTATTTACAAAGAATGGAGAAAGAATGCCTATAAAACAATCAACAGTAACCAGAATTTATTATAAAAGAAAGTATGGATTTTTTATAAACCAATTGGTATGATATGTTCTCACAATGATCCATTTAAGAGACCATCATTTTATGATTTTGCAAAAATTAGATTAAAAACTGACTAGCATATTATTTCTGTGGGAAGATTAGATTTTAATTCAGAAGGATTAATAGTTGTAACAAATGATGGAGAGCTGGCTAGATGTATGGAATTACCAGAAACAAAATTATAACGTACCTATAGAGTAAGAGTTTATGGTACTTTTACAGAGGAGAAACTGAAAAAGATAAGAAATGGTGTAACAATAGCTGGTGTAAATTATGGACCATATTGGATTAATGTTGAGAATAGGTAAAATTAATAATGTATATTTAGATAGTCAAGAAATACTTGGTTAATTATGAGATTAGAATAAGGTAAAAATAGAGAAATTAGAAAAGTTATGTAGAAATTTGATTTGAGAGTAAATAGATTAATAAGATAAAGTTATGGTCCTTATAAACTTATGGGTTTGAAACCAGGTGATTTTTATGAAGCTTAAATTGAACCAGAAATAAAGAGAAAACTTTATCTTTATACTAGAAAAAAGTTATAAGGTGTATAAGAATAAATTTAATTGGAATAAACAAAACTAAAAATTAAAGCTTTAGATGAGTAAAGTAAAAATGATAAGTAGATTGAAAAATAAGAAAATGATTAAATTGAGAAGAAGAATTTAATATAATCTTAGAAACTTCACTCAAAAACCAATTGATTTATTTTAATAAATTATATAAACAATTATAAAATTAATTTATATATAATTATCTTGATTAGTGATCATGAAAATTTATACATAGATAGTTAATTAGCTTTAATTGTTTCTAATTCAGATAATGCATTATCTAATCTTTCCCTTAATGCTTCCATTTCAATACTACAAAGAACTTTTTCATAAAAATAGTTAACTTTATTAAAGTCTTAATACTAATAATGCAATTTCTTAATTATAAATATACAATATATTTACATGAATTTATTCCTATAAATTTTATTTCTCTTTTGATAAATTTGTTACTTATTTTGACATTTAATTAATAGTTTCTTGATTATCAACTAATTCTTTATTTCTTAATTAAGATTAATAATTAAAATTATCAATTTCTTTTTATTACTATTACAATTTCTAATCTAATCGAATCTTAATTTATTATTTAATAAAATACCTTTTATTATGATTATTAAGATAAATCATTTAATAATTATTATCGTTCTTATTAAAGTTGTTGAATTTCTCTTGACATTAATTAAAACTTTTATGTAATATCATCTTAAAATTCTTATTCAAATTTTCCTTATTTCATTCTTGCTTCAGTTAATTCTTATTCATAATTCTCTCTAATAGATATTATTTATTATTGTAATTAATCATATTTTAATTATAATTAAGATAACTAAATATTTAATGATTTAATTTAATTATCTTTTTCTTATGATAAAACCTATGCTTAATTTAACTAATTTAACATTTCTTATTCATATATAGTTTTAGATAATTTATCATGATTCTTCTTTTCTTATAATTGATTATTCATTCGTTTATTAATAGAATTTAAATTATCAATTTCATTTCTTTATTCTATAATTTTAGTTTCATATATAGATATTTATGATTATAATATTTCTAATTAATTTTAAAGTTCATGATTTTAAGTATCTAACTTTCTTACATCTATACCTAATATTTCTAATTATGAATTTCTCATTTTTAAATCATCTATTTCATTTTCTCTTTAATTAATAATTTCTTTAAGTTTTTCTAATTCTTATTCATTTATAATTCTTTTTTTCATAATCTCTTATTATGTTCTCATTTCATCCATATCAATTTTAATTCTTTGATATAAATTAGTCATTCTTACCAATTCTTTTTATGCTTAATCTTTTTAAGCATTAGCATCAACAATTTATGTTTTTAATTCAAATTAATCCATTTCTAATTAATGACATTTCTTTCTAGCTTTTTCAATTTCTTTATTTGAATTATCTAATTCCCTTTATAAATGTTTAAGTTCATCATTTAATTCATTCATTGTAACTTAATAAAATTGTTTTAATTATTATGATTAATTATGCATTTCCATTTTATAATGATTTTCCATATCTTATAATTATTTAACCTTATCATTTTCACTAATAATAAACTTTTATTTCCATGAATCACTCTCATTTCTAATAACTCTAATTCTATCTTCAAATTCTCTATAAAATCGATCATCACTTTTTAAAGAATTTGTTTCTTAAGATTAAGATTATGGAACTTAAAATTCAGCAACAGATGTTTATAATTTTAAATCTTTTTATTAAGGAAAAGTTTAGATATTTTAAATTTGTTAAATTATTTATTGAGGAATTGGATGATTTGGTGATTATATAGTTCTATAAACAGTTTAACCTGAAGGTGGTGCAATATGAGTAGGTGACATATTTAATCTAAAGTTATTTGCATGAACAATCTATTCATTTACAGGTACATGAACTGCTTCATATACAACTGGTTTCAATATTGCTTTCTATTATTATTAAGGTTGAGATGAAAATGAATCTTTATTTGATTGATATGCATTTGGGGAAATTGATCTCATTTAATATTTTATTATTAATTTTATTCATTAACACATTTAAGAAATTAATAATTTATAAAATACAATAAAGCAAATTCTAAAATAATTTGTTTGATTAATAAATATATATAATGTCTCTTTCTTCAAATGATTAATTAGAAATAGATGATTCAGCTGAGTATTCCTATCCTAAATCTCCCAAATCCAAAAAGATTAAGAAATGTGAATCACTTTCTCCAAAAAAGAATTCTGGTCATTGGACTCAAGAAGAACATTAAAAATATTTAAAATTCCTTGAAGATCATGCAAATATCAAGAAAAATAATAAAATATTTAAACCTATGAGTGATATCATTGGAACTCGATCACCTAGTTAGTGTAGGTAAAAATAATATTATTGTAGATCTCATCATTAAAAATTCAATCCATTATCACCAATGGTTTAGAAGAAAAGTCTCAAACTTTAACAAACAACATAATTAATTACATCTACACTAAATGAAGATTCCTATCAATACAAAGAAGATGATTGTCTTAATCGTAGATTGGTCTAACTTATAATTTTTGATGAAGACGAACTACTAAATCAACCTTAATAATTTAATTTAGATGATTTTTTCTGAAATGCATTTATGCTATATACATAAAAACCTTCTTATTGGATAATGCATTTTATTATATATCTCAATTAATATTTATCATATAAAATCCATATCTATAACTCACAATTCTTTTTGTCTCTACACTATTCACTAAACTACTAACAATAAATTCTTATTATATTTTAAATTTAACAGAATTATTTAGGAATTTAAACTTCTACATATAATGTTCTAATCCCCAAAAAATGCCATTTCAACTGCTAAATTTTAATAGAAAGTAATGAACTTAGAAACAAATACCTCATAATTTGATGCAACTTCAACTATTATTTAGTCAATGTATTTATAAATAGATGAATTGATTTAAACAATTTAAATAAGAAACCCAAAATAATTGAAATAGTTAAATAATGAAGAGAATACCTTTACCTATCAAAATTAATTAAACATGTTAAAGGCTGATTAAGAATCAACTAATTTATAATAATATTATTTGGCTATTGAATCTGAAGAAATATCAAATGCCTTATATGCTCATCCCAATAATAGTTTACATCAATAAGCTTAAATGAAAAAAACTATATAATCTATTTAATTAAAGATAAATCAAATAAAATAAGTAATTTATATTATTTATATCATAGACTCTTAATGTTAATGAGAATGATTAAAGAGAATTTGAATCAAAAGCACAAGCAATCTAAGAAAAACAATAGAATTATGCTTCATTCTTATTAAAACTTAAAGAAAAGTAGTAATTAAATGATTCAGTGCATAAATTACTAGATTAATTAGGATAATAGTAATGGTTAAAGTTACGTTAATTATTTGATGTAGATATAATTAAGATTGCTATACCTTTTGAACATATAATTAAACTTTAATAACTATTATTGAAAGAATCAGAAAATTTGATTCAAGTAGGGAAGTATAAAGGTGTTTTGGAAGATAAAAAGTAATTTTTAATGGAAGTTCAATTATAATCACCCTAAATTAATTTAGTATTATCTTTTGATTAGATTTTGTTAAACATAATTCATCAGCCAAAAGATTAATTTATTTCTAAATAAGGACTATTAATTTAAATTGTAAAATGTCTCAATATTTTACATTCAAACTTTTGCTGTATTATTCAAAATTTAACTAAATTGAATTACTCATAAAAGTAATTTGAAGAATAATCAAAAGAATTATTATAGGTTACAGCTTAAATTAAAACATTTACATCAAGTAAAACCTAATTATTAATTGAAATTGATAAAATGAAAAAATAATTGAAAGATCTTCAATCATAATTACAAAATTCTTTAAATACAATTGATCGAGACATTGAAAATGAGGTTTAAAATCTATTATCATTATATTTAAAAGATAAGGAAATATTAATGAGGGACATAAAATTTAAATATGGTAAACAGTATCATGACCATATGATATTAGATGTCAGATAAGAATTTAGAAAGATTTGTTAAGGATAATAATTTGAATAGACAAATAAGATTGAATATGCTTATAATAGAATGGATGAAATTTAGATACAAATAATAAAAAATAAAGATAAAATAATACAATTATTAAAATAATTGAAAGAACATAAACTTTTAATTCCAAATACTAAAACTGAAGAATCCTAAATAGACAAAAAAGAATTTCTATTGCAATTATAAAATTTAAAAATAATTTTACTCTAACTTGAAAATAAAATATAGAAAAAATCATAACGCAATTCTGAATAATTGTTGTAAGATCTATAAGTAGAAATAAATAAATTAAAAGAATTTATTGATCAAAATTTTGTATTTTAAAAATAAAGAAGTGATTCTATTGATACAATTAAGAAAACTTAAAAATTTGAACATGCTAGATCACAGTCACAAATACCAATAATTTCAACTTTAGGATCAGAAATTTCTATTCCAATCCAAAGTCCAAAAAATGTTGTACTCCATATTTAGAATCCATAAGATATATTTGATTCTACAGATGATCCTATTTAAATTGTAAAAAAACCATTTTCTGAATGGAACAGTTATCAATTAAGTTTCAATTTGAATTAATTAAAATCAATATCTGGGATAAGTGGATAAGAATAATCATTTATTACATAAAAAGAGAGTAGTTTACATGGTTCAATTTTAGAAGCTATGTCTAGCAATAGAAATAAGAAACCAGAGATTCATTTGATTGTATTTTTAAAATTGAAAGAATGCAATAAAAAATATGATCCAATAAAAAATGAAGATCCAACCAAATATGGTTATAGATTATATCGAATAGATAATCAATTTAATGTAAAAAATTGAATTATGAAAAGATCTATAGTTCTGAAGAGAATGAAAATATGAATAGTTACTAAAAATTAGAAATGAGACTTGAGGTTTCATAACTCATATTGGTAATAATAAATATGATTGTAGGATGATTGTAGTCAAAATGCTTTGAAATTTAGAATGATTTATGAACCTTCAATGAGAGGAATAGTTTAAGATAGTTTAGCTTTAAAACATTTAAATTTGCAACATCTACCATTTAAATTATAAGGAAACTCTGTAATAGTTAATGGATTATGCTTAAATGAATAGGACTTAATTAAATTATAACTATTATTTAAATAATGAATGTATTATTAAACTTTATTAAATTACGTGTTCAGATTATTATTTTTTAATAATAATATTTTAATATATATATGGTACTTGCGGAATTAGGAAAATCAATAAATGCAGCACTTTAAAAACTCAATAAAGCCCCTGTTGTAGATGAAGCACTAGTAGACTAAATATTAGGTGAAATAGCTATGGCTTTATTAAAAGCAGATGTTAATGCAAAGTTTATAAAAAAATTAAGAGAAGATGTTAAGATGGAATTCAAACTATGTTAGGAAGAGAATGTTAATCATTAAAAATTAATACAGAAATCAGTTGTAGATGGATTAACTAGAATGCTTGAGAGTGATAGAAAACCATTTCAACCTAAAAAAGGTATTAATAAACAAAAATAACAATAGGAAAGCAAAATGTTATTATGTTTGTTGGTTTATAAGGATCTGGTAAAACAACTACTTGTACTAAATATGCATATTATTATTAAAAGAAAGGCTGGAAAGTAGCTTTGGTTTGTGCTGATACATTTAGAGCAGGTGCTTTTGATTAGTTAAAATAAAATGCCACTAAAGTGAGAGTTCCATTTTATGGGTATAAGTAATATTAAATGTTAGATCTTATACTGAAGCTGATCCTGTATATATTGCATAAGAAGGTGTTAATGTGTTTAAGAAAGAAGCCTTTGAAATAATTATTGTAGATACATCAGGAAGACATAAATAAGAAAATGATTTGTTTGAAGAAATGAAATAAGTAGAAGCTGCAGTAAAACCAGATGATATAGTTTTTGTTATGGATTCATCAATTGGTTAAGCTTGTTATGATTAAGCTTTGGCATTTAAGAAAGCTGTTAATGTTGGGTCTGTTATTATAACAAAGTTGGATGGACATGCAAAAGGTGGTGGTGCTTTATCAGCAGTAGCAGCTACAGAATCTCCTATTGTATTTATAGGAGAAGGTGAGCATTTTGATGATTTGGAATCTTTTGAAGCTTCATCCTTTGTAAGAAGACTATTAGGATTAGGAGATATAAATAAATTATTTTAATCAGTTAAAGATGTTGTAAATATGAGAGATTAACCATAATTAATATAAAAATTAAAAGAGGGTAAATTTTCTATAAGAGATTTATAAACATAATTCAATTCTGTACTTAAATTAGGATCTTTAAATTAATTTATGTCTGCTATTCCAGGAATGGGAAGTTCAGTATTATCAAAAGGAAATGAAAAAGAATCTATTAAAAGAATTTAAAGGTTTTTATGTATAATGAATTCTATGACATAAGAAGAATTGGATGGTGAAGGTATATAATTTTATTAATTTAGGAAATTTAAATTTTTGTAGAATTGTTAGAATTGCAAGAGGATCTGGTACATCTATAGAAGAAGTTCACATTTTATTAGATGAACATAAGAAATTGTCTAAAGTAGTTGGAAATTTAGCTAAAACTAATTTAGGAGGAAAAAGTAAAAGATATTAATAATTTTATAGGAGGAAATGAATTTGATCAACTTAAAAGAAATCCATAATAAATGATGTAAAAGATGAAAGGGGCTATTGATCCTAGTATGCTCTAAAAGTTAGGAGGAATGGACAATGTTATGAATATGATGAAATAAATGGGTTAAATGGATGGAATTTAAGATTTGATGAAATAAATGGGAGGAATGGGAGGAATGGGAGGAGCAACAGGTAAAGGAAAAAGAAGATGATATAAGATTATTAAACATTGTATTTTTAACAATTTTATTTCATAATTCAATTTAATAATAATAACTTTTAGTTTGTGAATTACGTAATTCACTACAATTATAATAGATGATTTTATAATCTCAAAGATATCAATTAATGAATAAGATTATCAAGTGTTTTATTTGATAATATTCATAGAAAACATAAATTTCAAGTTTAATAGTTTTGCTTATTTAGAATTTACTATTAATTACAATCAATTAAAAATATTAACATTAAATAATGTAGGATTTTCAATAGGCTCTAGATGAAAATCAAAACTTAGCAGAAGCTTTATAAACATAATAAAATATTATCTTAATTCAATAACTTAGAGAAGGTATCAAAATATATTATATAGAAATAAAATAACAAGAAGATAATTTTAAATAAAATCAGCAAATACTACAAAATGAAGAAATAAATAATAAAAAAATACTTTTAGCAATAATAATAATTTTATTAATAACAATTATTTTGTTGTTATTATATAAACTAAAAAGTCAATGATTTTGATTTAATTTTAATTTTATTACAATATTTTGTTCTTTATTAAACCTTTTAATGGTTTTATTATAATCTTAAATAATGATTGTGCATAAATTACAAATCTTTTTATTATTAATTCTTCTAAAATTGATTTATTGGTAATTTAATCTAATTCAAACTTTATTCTATCAATTTTACATTAATATGATGAAAATTAATTTCTTTCATTCAAAGTTGAATTGGAATCTTCTTAATTCTTTAAGTCTAATTAATTTTTGATAATATATTTTATTTTAAGAATTCAAGGTTCAGAAATTTCAACTTCAAATTCTTCAATGTAATTGATTTAATTTAAAGTAGATAACTTATTTTGATTTTATATGAATTCAAGAATTTTCTTACTAATTATTCTCCTAATTTTATATTATTTATAACAATTAAGTTATTAGATTTTGTTTAGTGCTTTTAATTTTTGATTTTATTTTTAATTCCTACTATTTTTATATTATTGTAGCTATTTCTAGTTTCTTAATTTATTCATTAAATTCATTTTATTAAATTTAATGAATAAAATTAATGAGAAAACACAAAGAATTAACTTAAATAATACTTTTTAAATATTTTTATATTATTTTTCTTGAAACGACATTTGATTATTGAATATTTGTCTAAAAACAGAAAATTAAAATTTTAATATAATTTTAGGTATTTTGAGTTCAAAAGACTGGGATTTAGCAAAAAAAATAAATATCATTTGATTCAATAAAGTGATTAATTGGAAATAACACTATCCATCTCCTCACATTCATATAGTTATTACTTTTAAAATTTATTTCCTTCTTATTATAATAATGAAATCACTTATTGACTCTAAATACTTTAATTTGTGCTTGCAAAACTTATTTAAGTTTTTCGTTTCTCCATTAGAGTATTAATTTATATTGAAACCTATGAACTTTTAAGTATTGTGTCTGGAGTATTATCAGAAAAGTCTTTTTCAATTTCCAATTATGTAAAAGCTCTACGTTTACTTTAATTTCTTAAATTGCAAAAGTATCTATCTTGCTTTGCTTTTGGATCTGTTTTCATTTTGATATTCAAAGAGCTCAAATAATCAACTATTGATAACTCAATTTAGAGATTTTTTTTTTTAAATTCATTAACTTCTTGATATTCTCTTATGTTCAATTCTAATGATCTTCCTGAATAGCCTCCATAATAATCTTCTTATGGATCTATATTAATGCTTGACTAAGATATTCGAGAAAGATTAAGCTCTTTTAAATTAACTGGCTATTACTATTATTCGAGTTCCATAAAAATATATTTTATTAATGTTTTGATGTTAGAAAATATCTGAAATATCAATTAAGCACAAGTAACATTAGATTAATGTAAATGTAATAATACTAATATATCAATATTACATCACATTATCGTTTATTTATACTTCGATTAAATATTTATTCCAACATAATTGATTAATTTTCACTAGTATTATCGTAATAGGTAAAAGGTATAAAAAATAAGATTAACAACTAAAATAATCAAATATCATCATTAATAGTTAAGCTTGGCTTTTTCAAATCTAATTATAATAATATATTTTATTATATCATTCTTCCATCATGCAATTTCAACTAAAAGTATTGTGAGAAGAATGTTATAATAATTAAAGTAGTTTTATTTCCCTTATTTTAAGATGCTAAGCTTCTTTAAACAAAAAAAATTGTACTGAAATTTTATTTATTTTAAAAAACCGTAAAAATAAATAGTATGAATTATTTTTATACTAAATAAAAACCCTTATATCTTTAGGTATTTATTTCAATTTTTTCAATATTCTCTATTTACTAAGACTACCATGTTATGATAAATTATAGTAATTATCAGAAATTAAATAGTTATTACGTTCAGATGAAATTAAATTGAATTTATTTTTAAGGTTGCCCTACCTCTGAAAGAATTTCAATATCAATAAATTAGTAGTGATTTGACAAAAAAAATTAAAAATAGCCCTTATTAATAAATTAATAATAATCTTTCACTTAAGCTTTTCTGATGCATATGGAAAACTTATACATGAAATTTATTTTCAAAATAATAAAATCATTAAGTTATTATAATAATTAATTTCTCATCATATAAGAATTTAAGTTAAATGTAATAAAACGATCAAGCCAATAATGGCATTATATAATTACACTTTTTAGTTAAATATAATTATTCTAACTTTAAAATTTTCACTCATCCCTTGTTATTTTAAATAAAGACTTTCTTATTAATATATGGAAAGTTATAAGAATTATAAAGCAAATTTTTATTAAAGAGACGATTGATAGTAAAAGTTTACAATTTAAATGGAAACTCTTATTAATTCTGGAGAATTAAATAAGTTATGTTATCATCATCTATTTTTGAATAAAACATTTTGTCGTAAATTTAATTGAGAAGATAATCATCCTCATTAAGGTTTTTAACTAACAATAAATGCAGGCCTTTGTTTATAAAAATCTTGCTCAAAGTTTGAAAAAGCTAATTAGCAGAAAAATAATTAATTAAATTATCATTTACCTCTTTAATTTTTTCATTTAACACTTACTCTTATGAATTGAATGAATAAAATATGAGATTATTGTGAAAGATAGAGCAGTAATGGGAAATTATTAGAAATAAAGGACTTAAATAAATATAAGTCTCCTTAATATAAGTAAATTCAAAAAAGGATGAAGGTCAATTTTTTTGAACAATATTTTCAGACTGCTTAAAATCAAACAAGCATAATTTATCTATGATTTATAATTATTAATTATTATCAAGTCGAAATTAAAAAAAAATCAATTATTATACCATATGCTTTAATTCTAAGAAAATATAAATACATTTTATTTATGGAATTTAGTATTCTATTAATTTAAAAATGATCAAGCAATTATTTGTTAATTTTGAATATATGTTTAATATTTTCTATAAAAATATATAATCAAAAAAGAATTTAAGTATTTAATTTATGTTAATAGATTAGTATTTACTGTCTTCAAATCCAATATACTTTTATTTACTATTCAATTATATTTATTTATAATTATAAAATATGAGGACATCTAATATTATATTTAATATTAAAATGGAATTAATGGTTGGGTAAAGTCAAAAACTATGTGATTAAGAAAGATAATTTGATGGAATAGTTGGGTCCTAAAGAGATATTAATAAATGATTAAATTATAGTATAATAAATACTATGAAGGGTTTAGTATATAAGTAATTAAATTTAAAAAATAAATTGAAGTATTTAAAGTGTTTAAAATAATGCAAGAATTTGTCGAATTAATTTAGGCAGCATTTTTCGCAAAAGAAAATAATTAGCGTAGTTAAGCAGAGTAGTAGCTTGTGAATTTGAAGCATTAATTACCAAATGAGTTTTTTTAAAAGTGCAGCAATGCATTTATATCTCCTTAATTGGATTCTTAGACTAGAGTAGCAGCAGGAACATTACTTTAGAGATGTATAACTTATGAGTAAGGATGGTTAACAATTGGATTGGATGTAAAGCGAAAAATAAAAGATGAGTTGCTTTCTCAACTAATTTCTAGTGATTAAAATATAAAAAAGTCAGCAGCAAGCGTAATAATTACATATTAATTATATAGTGTTTATCAGGTATATGTGCAATAGAATTACCAAGATAAGAGTGGCCTGAAATCATCAGCATTTTAGTATCAAATACTAGACATGAATCAATAGAAGTAAAAAAAGCGGCAACTATAACTCTTGGTTATATTTGTGAAGCCTTGAAAAACTAAAAATAATCAATAGAGAAGTCTGAGAGTGAAAAAGTGTTGTATGGAATATGTATGGGATTATAAGGAGAGAAAGAAATCAAATTGATATCTATTAGAGCATTAAAGGACAGTTTATAATTTATGGATTAAGTATTGGCACAATAATAGATCAGAGATCATGTGACTAAATTATTAGTTGAATAAGCAATATCTCAAGATTCTGAAATAAGATTAGCAGCATTAGAATGCTTAATTGACTACACTAAAGCAATTTTCGATTATTTAGGTAATAATTTTAATAATATATCAATTTAGAATAATATATTTTGGGTTTATGGAATTGTACATAAGAAAGTATTTATAAATTTGATTTTGCAATTGTGACAATGGAAATATGGTAGAGTATTGCATCTGAAATAAATGAGAGATCTGCTGTAAGTAATAGAACTAATTTGGGATTCAGAAAAACATAAAAGGATGCATTACAATTAATATCATAATAATTAATCTAAGCTGTTCTTTAAAACTTGCTTATATCTGATGAGGATGAAGAGGATGATGAAGAATAAGGAGTTTAAGAGGCAGCATATAAGGCAGCATCTTCAATTAGTGAAGCTTTGGGAAATCTAAGTTATTAACTTTATTTAAGATTTATAGAAAGTAATTGAATTATTGATTATATATTTTAGATACACTTTAAGCACAAGAATGGTAAAATAGAAAGGCTTCTTTATTAGCATTTTCTTCAATGGTTGAGACAGCTGATGTTTTAGAATTATTCTAATTTTCTAATTCAGCAATTGGTGAATTTATAAAAAAATTAGCTGATCCTCATAAATAAGTTAGATATGCTGCTGGTAGAGTAATAACAAGAATTGCTGAAAATTATCCATTAGTTATTTTGAAGCATTAATTTGCTGATGAATACATTAATTAATTTTCATAATTTTTATAAGGAAATACTAAATTAACAAAATATTTATTATGGACTCTTGTTAATATCACAGAAGCATTTAGAGATGATCCTATAAATTAATTTGGCAAATATTATGAATTTCTTATTTCTTAATTTGCAACTGTTATAGGTAGATAAGATTTTTAGGATGGAACTTTATTAGATATAGCTTGGGTTGGTATCATAAATTGTTTACAATGCATAAAAGAGCCTTAAAAGATTAAGACATATTTAGAAGCTTTTGGTTAATAAATGCTTACAGTTTATTCATAAACTAGATGGTAAAAGGAGGCTAATATTTCTGGATTATTATCAGCCATTCACATTTGTTTCTTAAGATTAGTAGTATTGGGTGATTAATGTGATATCTAATTGATGAATAATTTCTATTAACTTATAGTTGATTATTTTAAGAAGATCTAAACTGTCACATAAGATGGTTTTTATGCAATTAGTGCTATTGCTTAATGTAAATATATCTTTTTATGTATTATATAGATAGCAAAATTAATTTTAAATCACTATTAGATGATTTTATGTAAAATTATTTGGAAATTGGATTGTAAAAGAAACTAGAAATTGAAACATTCAAAGGAGCCATTTTGTGTTTAGCTGATATTGCAAGATCCCTTCAATATAAAGAATTTAGCAAATACTTACGAATTTTAGAATATCTAATTACTTGTGTTAATGTAATTGATTTAACAATAAACCAAAGGACTAATAAGTGAACAGAGTGGCCAAGATAGCTTTGTTTGTTTGCATAGCTGACATAGTTTTAATAGCAGAGCATGAGGCTGAACTCTACTTTTAACCCATTTGGCAATTAGTTAAAAGTGGATTCAATGCTTCAATCTTCTTCACCTAGAATAAAGATATGACACAATTGGAATATTATGAAAATCTAAATGATGCCTTATTAAATTGTTATTTATGCATGTTACATGCATTCAACTTAAATAAGATACCTTATATACCACTCTATTAAACAATATCTGAATTATGTATGTTTATTTAAGCTACATCTGAAAAGTCATTGACACCTACTGTGGTATTAATTATTATTAAATAATTATAGGAATATATTCGTCTTTGTGTTACTTGTTTACTAGATTGTGTGTCATATTATAAATAAGTAAAGGGATAAGAGAATATATCTTAAAAAATACTCACCAGTCCTCTTCTCATCAGCTTATTGGAAATGTTAAAATAATATTCAAACTAATAAGAAAATCAATAATTAATTATGTATGCTAATGATTTATGCAAATCATTCCAATTGCCTTAATATTTGAATTGAGATTATCATTATATATTATTATGTTTAATTTAGATGTGTTGTATCCATACTAACAGAGTAGAATGCTCTATAAATCTATAATATAATTTATAAGCTCATTAGTATTAATTTTTAAAAATATTTTTCAAAAAAATACATAATGAAAGGAGGTAAATAATAAAAGAACAAATCAATCTGGGATTAAGTCAAAAACGAGGAAAGAGACTTCTATTATAACTTTTTGGCTAAAAAATACAGGAATCTCTAAAAGAAACTCAAAGACATTGCAGACCTTGAAGAATTACAAAAAACAAAAGAATTGAAACAAGAATAGATCTAAAAGATTTAAAATAAAGAAGAAAATAATGAAAGAATAAAAGAATTAGAAGGTCAACTCTCGAATTGGCTTAATGCTAAGAAAGAAGCCGAATAATAAGGATCTATTATCACTCTTGAAGCATACATTATTATTCTTCAACATCTCTCCTAAGATCCATAATTAGTTGCTCTTTTAACTTAAGACCATGAATCAACACATGAATTAGCTAAAAAATTGTAATCAAAAATAGTTGGATAATCAGCCAAAACAGATCAACCATGGAAAGGATTGAAAGTATTTATATTATAAATAAATATAGTTTGAAATTCAACCTTAACAATAAGAACAAGAACCTAACCAAACTTAATAAGTAAATGAAACAGAACCTATTTAATAATAAATTCAATAAGTAATTTAACAATAAGAATAACATGTCTAATCTAAATAAACACCTTTAGAGGAAGTCTAAATTTAATCAAAACCAGTTGAATAAATTTAAGTATAAGAAACATAAGAAAATTAATAATTCAGTGAATAATAACCATAAAATGAACAAAACTTAGAAAATAATTAAAATGTAGTCGAATAACCCAAATAAGATTAATAACCTTAAACAAGAGAGGGCTAAAGACATCATTACCATCATGATGATAGAAGAAATTATAAAAAAAATTACAATAATAATAATAATTATGATAGAAGAAACAACTATGATAGACCATACAGAGGAAATAAATAACATTATCATAATAGAGACAGAAATTATCAATAAGAATAATTATGGGAAGAAAAAGTAGACAAACAGACACCTTTAAATTAAGAGGAATAATAATAAGAAGAAGAAGATTACATTACAGTTAGAAGCAAGTATCATTTACTTTTATTTCATCTAGAAAACCTTAAAAACCATAGAGAGGAGGATAAAGAAATTATGACAATAGAAACAATAATAGAAATTATGATAATAATCCATAAAGAAGATAGAAAAACAATGAGGAAGTTGATTAATGAGAGTATTTTAAAATATATATATATATATATATTATATTTATCATTTTCATATTTACAGTGATTCCATTAATTATTATCGTTATTTTATAATTGATTCAATTAAAAGTCTATATTTTAAACAAATTTATTTTTTAAACACTTCTATTTCTTATGAATAAGCAATGAAATTTTCAGAAATCTTTTTCAAATTATTAACATCTTAATTTTATAATAAAGTTTATAAAGTAAATGATGCTTCACTAAAGTTTTTATAATCTGGAAAATCTAATTTTGTTCCTTATTCATTATAGATATGTTAAAGCAGTTTATTTGACAAAATGATAAAATCCAATATATATTTAATTAATTCTCTTAAATGTTAGCATAGAGAATTGATTTAGTCATCTTCAGTTTATTATTATAAAATTTCTATTTACTATTTTAGAGAATCAATAGTCTCATCTTAGTTTATATTTTCTTAAGTAAGTAATTAATATTATTCTAATAGACTATCAAAAGAATTTTATAATTCTTCAAATTTTTTAATTGATTAATTTTATGCATTCTATTATTCTTAAAATTCGTTTTATTTGATAACCAATACCTATTCATATTATTAATTTTATTGAATTAATTCTTATATCTTCTAAATAACTTGAGACACTTATTCATCTTTAGATTGATTGTTTAAACTTTTAATATCAAAATTAAAGTTAGACACTAGTTCATCAAAATTTGATTAATATTCTTGTATAGTGAAATTTAATTAAGCATTAGTGTCTTAGATGTTTTAAATAATATTATCCTTCTCAACAATTTAACTTTAATATGTTTCTCTTAATCTATAATAATGGACAATTAATTCCATGCTTTATTCATAATCTTGAAATTTAGTATTTTCAATATTTTCTATATCTTATTTGATTATATCCATAAGTAATGAATATTCCTCACTTTATTTTTGGAAAATATTAGTATCAAATGATTTTTCAATTAAATTTGAAGTCTCATTTTTTTTTGGTTTTATATTAAATTTAGTAATTGATGGAGGTGCCTCAGATCTAGTTCTCTTATGTTTACCTGCACTACTAAAAGGCAATTATTGATTTTGATATTCGACTACTTAGTCTGATGCATTGATGACATAATATTGATATTTATCTTATAATTCTTAAAGATTTGATTTAATATCGCTAAAAGATTCATGACATGACTAATTATTAAATTCTTATTCAATTTTTGCAAGGTTTTCATAAATTTACTAAAAACAGCAAAAATCTTATTTGATACTTTAATTGTTTATACTAAAGCTTGGTTCATTATTTTTATATTATTAATCTGCATAATTATTAGTTGTCATGTATTCTGCTTTCATAGTATTTATCTCTTATTATTTTTGTTAAGATTATTAAAAAGAGGGTGAAACTTGAAATGAATCTGTATACTGCATTTCAGCATCATCCTTAGAAGGTGTTTATTATGATATTCCTGATAATAAGTTTTCATCCATATAGGTGTTATCATTTTCAAATTCCATTTAAATATTTATATTTGATCAATTTATTTAATGAAACATACTCAGTTAGAATTTTAATTTTAAATAAATTATATTAGATTTATTTAGAGAATATGAATAATTTAGAAAGAAAGTGTTATAAACTATTTAACCTATTAACAAATTCAATCTCTCTTTTTCTTGAGGTATTCCTCCCTCTCTTATTATTCTAATGATTTTCTATATAATTCTAACTTTACTCTTTTCGCTTCTGATTTATCCTTTTTCTCCTGTTTATTACCATAAATGCATAAGGATGTCAATACTACTATAAAAGCAACAACAACATAAACAGGAACCTAAATGATAATATTTATTGATTACCATTTTTAATGAGAATATTCTTCTTAACCATTTTTTAAAGTGATCAATTTCTTTTGGAGTGTCATAAGGTTCTAGATGTAGATATTTCTTTTCATCTACAAATTGAGTGAAATTACCAATATTAGTAGATTCTATTTATTCAATTAGTATTTACCATTGTAAAAATACATCTAATTATCAGTATCGAAAAACACAAAGGTTGGATATTTGGTTATACCAATCCTATCACCAATAAGTTCTTAATTATATCTTTATTAATTATTATTGATACGTGTCTATTGCTCCAATATTTATTGTACCATTATAAATAGTTACCATTTCTTCCCAAATTTTAACTATTCTATGACAACCTTTACACCATGGAGCCCAAAAGAATATAAACCATGGCTTTTCTAATCCTTAATTGCCTAAATGAGTAATTGCATCCCAATTATTATCATTGAGCATTATTACAGGTGTCTATTTAGGAAATTCCAAATCTGGCATATCCTATGTGCTACATAGAACTAAAATCACAAAAAGAAGCTTAAATTTCATTATTTTATTTTATTATTTCTAAATAATATATTTCATTCTCTTGTTGCAACAAAATAATTATTTGCTTATTCTTTGGCATTGTTAGTCCAAGCAATCTATCAATTATTTATTATTATTTTCTTACTTCAGCTAGTAATACAGTGCCAGCTAAAGCCAAACAGATTGGGGCAGCATAAGTAACTCTTTTTGGTGTATATACTGGAGCATAATGTTCAATATATGATAATCTTGGTGCTTTTGTGTAAATTAAATGACTAACTAATAGAAATATTCATATACTCTAAATATTAAACTGATCTTCCAATAAATGTTTTATTTGTAAAGTTAGTGAATGATAAGCCAGTTGATGTCACTGCTGAGCATATTGATTTATAGAGCTTAAATGAGTTTGGATTCATTATTATTTAGATATTATTTGAAATATATTGTATATTTATTAATGCCTATATTTATTCATCATATTTAATTTATACTAATTCTTCTATTTTTATATATAATTCATTCTATTTCTCATTTCTATTGTCTCTATAAAAAATAGAAATTATAATTTACTATATTTTCTTTAAACATTATTACTTTCTTTTTATAAATTGTCAATTTCTTACATTTCATATATATTAACTTAATCTAAAATTGATATATTTATATTTATATTTATATTTAATATTAATAAGACAGTGAAATTTAATTCCATTTAATCACCATTTATGATTCGATTAATATTTTTGTGTAGGTAATCTATTCATAATGTTATGAGTAAATATTGAATGACAACTTTTATAAAATAATTAGATAATTTAATAATCTAAGGATTTTATTACTTTAGAATTTACTATTAAATTAGATTTGTGATTTCTTTAAGTAAATTAATTTCCATTACTTGAATACTTAGTAATCTTTCATATAAATTAATCAAACATTTATATATTTTTTAATATTCTGTTATAATAATTTTATGATTATTCTATGAAATAAATCATTATCTAATCTATTTAATTTTGAGAATGTATATTTAAACTATAATAATAATATTCTTTAGAAAAAGTTGATATAATAATAATACTCCATTTAACATCCATTATGATTATGGAAATATACTTTATATTCAATTATAAAAATATTTTTCATTTATTTTAAAATGTGATTATATTAGATTAATTATGAAATTTTATTTTATCATTTACTTAAAATATATCAAAATAAATATATTAATTTGATAGCTTTTAGGTTATTAAATTTTTCAATTATTTATTTATTAGAGCTTATTATAAAAAATATTAGATTCAGTTAGTTTAAATTATAATAATTGCCAATATAAACTATTTTAGATAATTAAGAAATTACATTTTTTTATTTTTATGTTTATATTTACCATAAAATATAAGAGGTAATAATAATACATTATAATTTATAGTGATTTATTAAATATATTTATATATATAATTTTAATAAATATCTTTCTATGTCTTTGCCATAAGGAATTCCAATGAATGCTGTTTATAAGCAAGTTGTAATGGAGCATAAAGAAGATGATAGAGTTGAGCAATTAGAAGCACAAATTTATAACATGGAAAAAGATCATAGCATGTGGAGAAAGAAGTATTTTGAGCTTGAATCTTTATATGATAAGTGTCGATATGCTGCTGAAAAAGTAAGGATTTAGTTTTTAAATTTAGTCAGTCTAATTAGAAGATAGAATCAATCTATTGAGATAAGACAATTCATAAATATCAGGTTTGCTTAGAGAAAAAGCTACAGAATGTGAAAAAATGAGAGTGAGATTGACATAATTGGAAAATGAGAATTTTGAGTTAAATACAATCAGATTGTAAGTAACTAAATTCAATGATCTTTTATAATAAAAGACATAAGATATTGAGTAATTAAGAAAGAAAAATTCAGAAATTTATGCTAGAGTAATTGAATTAGAAGGAAATGAATTAGTTATTAGAGATTATAAGGCTTAAGTAAATAGTTTGACAAAGGATTTAGATGTTTGGAAAAAGTTATATGAAGATTAATAATAAGAGAGAGTCAAACTATTAGAAATCATCAGATAATTTGAATAAAATAATCCTTTATCAGGAACAATTAAATAATCTTAATAATAGATTAGTGAAGTAATTGAAAGAAGAGTTGTCACAACTTCAGAAACGACTAATAATAATCTTCAATTATAATCATAACTTTTATAAAACCAAGCTACTATTTCTGATTTATAAGATAGACTAGGATTCTAAGAAAAGTAATATGATAAATTGAAGTAAGAATTAGAAGGCAGAATTAAATTGATTAATGAACTTAAATTAAAGTAATATATTATTTTATTTATAGAATAACTTAATAAGAATGTGAATTAAAGAATATAAATTATTTGAAATTAGATAACTAAAAATTAAAGGATTAATTAGATTAAACTAAAAGAGAACTTGATTAATTTAGAAAATAATATTATACAACTTTAAGTAAATTATAAATTGCTGAATAATAACTTAATGAATTATATAATTTGGAAAATAGACTTTAATTACTATAATAAGAAAGAGAAACCTTAAATAAATCATTAAAATAAAAAAATGAAGATATTGGATAATTACAAGACAAAGTTTCATCATTGTTATCTTAATTAGAATAGTTGAGACTTAATGATTAAGCAAGAAATGCTGCAGAAAATGAAGTTATTTAACTCAAATCTGAATTAAATAAACTCTAAAGTAATCTTAAATAGAAAGAATAAACTATCACAGATTTACATGGAAGAATAAATGACTTATAAAAATAATTAACAAATTCTTAATCTGATTTTAAGAGATTATAAGCTAAGGATTATTCAGGATTATAAGATCAAGCAAAATTAGTTAATGAATTATAATAGAAATTAATTTAATTGAGCCAAGATAATTCTAAATACTAAAATTAAACATTCAATTTGGAATCCAAAAATAATTCACAAGTTTAAGATATTTAAAGATTGAATTCTTTATTATAAACTAAAACTTAAGAACTTTAAGATGCAAATAAGAAAATTCATGATTTAGAAAATGATAAGACAATTCCTGATCTTAAGTTTTAGAATTCTTAATTAATTGCTGAATTGAGAGAATAAGAAACTGAAAACTAAGGTTTATAAGAGAAATTACAAATTTTAGAAAGTTAAATCATTTAATTAAATACTAAATTAACTACAGCTGAAGCATTAGCAAACTGTAATTTGAATGAGAAAAATAAAGTTGATTAATTGTTGTCTTCTTATTTGCTTCAATTATCATAATTAGAAAAAGAGTAATATATTAATTTAATACTTTTAGAGTAGATGGACTAAGAGTTATAGCCCAATAAGTATCATAATAGAGTGCCATAAATAAATAATAAGAATAACACATATAAGCTTTAAAGAAACAGTTAAAAGACTAAAGTAATTAATTCAATGAAGTAAGTAAAGAGAATGAGAAATTATATGTTGATAATTCTCAACTCTCTACTCGTATTTCTTAATTAAGTGAATTGCCAAATAAGATATAAATATTAGATGAGGGAATATAAAAACTTTAATAAGATTATAATAATGAATTGTAAGCTAATGAAACATTAAATAAATAATTGAATGATGCTTTAAAAGTAAAGAATGATTTAGAAAATAAAATAGCCATGTTATCAACAGAAGTGGAAAGATTTTAATATAAATTAAATAGTAGATAAAATGAGGCTGAATAATTAAAAAAATAAATAGTTGAATTGGAAACTCAAATAGCTTAATTGAAATAATTTGAATCAGATAATTAAGTGTTGGCAGATAAAATTTCTAATCTCGAACAATAATTAATTGATGAAACAAATAAAAATTTAGAACATCTTCTTAGAGTTAGTTAAGATGAAACAAAATAATACATTTTAGATAATAATAATCTCAAATAACAATTAGATTAAAAGGAATAAGAAAATAAATAAAAGGATGAATCTTATAGATAATTAGAATAAAAATATTAATAACTTTAAAGTTCGAATAAGAATTTAGAAGCATAGAACACTTAAATTGCTGAATTATAAAATGTAATAGCTGGATAAGAAAGTGATATTCAAAAATTCTAAGATCTTATAGAAGAATTAAGAGATAAAAATAATGATTTAGTAGCAGAGTAAATTATTTATATAATTATTATTTAGATCTTAAAAATTATAAATTGAATTAACTTAATAATAAGTTTAGATTTCAGATTTAAAAAATCAAATTGAAAAGCTAAATACTTAAGTGAATAACAATTAAAATTATAATTAATTAATAGAAGAATTGAAGAGAAAAATAGAGAAATTGTAGGAAGAAAAAGTAATATTTAATTATATTATAATAAAGTACTAATTAGAAAATAAAGTGGCCTTATTGTCAAGTGAAATAGAGAGAATGAGAGTTAAATATGATGCTTAAGGAAATAAATTAAATACTTCAGAAGAGTAAAGATAAGGTGTAACTAAGGAATTAGAATAAGTACATAAATTATTTGAAGAATCATAAGATGTATATATATTATTTAAATAAAAATAGGAAATTGATAAATTATAGGAATAATTGTCAAAACAAAAAGAATTAGAATAAAAAGAATAAGCTTTAAGTTTAACTTTAGTAAATGCATTTAATGAAATTGATGCTTTGAGATCATAATTGTAGAAGGTTTCAAATGAAGCTAATGAATAAAAGAAGGCCAATATTGTATTGGCTACATAATAACAATGATTATTATAAAAAATAAATATTAATAATTAAAAATGCTCTAAAAAGCTACAATTAGATATTATTTATCATAAGCAAGTAATATAGAAATATAAAATTAAGGAAAAATACCAACAATTTGGGATGTAAATCCATTAGCTTACTAAAGAATGTCTAATGCTTTATTAGGAGCATACTCAAATAGATAATTTGGAGTTTTAATAAGAGAAAATCTTGATATGATAACTGATCATCAAGTAGCATATGCATTTTAAAGGTATAATGATATTATTTAATATTTATATAGAATAAATGAATTGAATTTAGATGCTGATGAAGATTTCTATGAATATGTTTTACCAGCATTAAAGGAATTTGTTCCAAATTTAACAAAAGATCATCCAGTCTCAATTGCAACTATTATAGGAACTTGTGGTAAAATAAATGTCAAAGATGCTTCCCTTTGGTAATTATTTGAAAAAAAAATTGTGGCTGATCGTTTATATAGGTATTGTTAGATTAGATATAATAAAGATATATTCCTTTGAATGACTTAGTAAATATGACATAATAAGTTGCATTAAGTGATTATGGATCTGAAGGATTTTTTAATACAATGGAAAAATAAATTGGTAGACATAGATTGGCATTGAGTGATGAATAAATTAAATTGACTCAAGAAGCTTTTGAAAGAAAAAGATTAGCAGCTCCAATCATTAAGCAATTAAAATAATCAGCTTAAAAACAATTAGCTTGATTTATAAGATAAACAATAAAATATTATATTTAGTACAAATTATTGCTCAATATTAAAGATGATTTTTAAGTTTATCTTCTAACCAATTATAGAATTCTATATGGTCTAAATAGACAGGATAAAATGGAGATTTTTCAAATGTTTTTGCAAAATTTACTATTTTTTATATTAAAATATGAGCAAACTAATAATTATAATAAAAATTAATTTTACTTTTCTTCCAATATAAGCTAAAACACTATTAGGTACCATTGAAATTTTAGGATTTACATTTGTGCAAGCTCTAATAGAACATGAATCCTTATCAATAGGTGTAATTTCAAAAATGTAATATTTAATATACATTCTAACAAATTTAGATTTCTCTGGAATAAAGATTCCATTCTTTTCTAAAAATTCTTTATCACTATCCACTGATCTCGATAATAATGTTATTGTTCCATTAACTGATAATCTATCATAACCTTCTCCAACAAAAACACATTCTCTATCTGGAATCAAAGGAAAATACATTTCTGATGTACAAACTTTACATGCTCTATTCAAAACTTTATTAACATAAGTTCTTTTACAAAAAGGAACCCATAAATAATTTAAATCCATTTCATTTACTAAAGCCAATACTCTTATTGCATTTACTGGTATCTTTGTTTCCATAAGCATAGATGCAGTAGAAGTATTTTCTGGGAATTTATACTTAACAGAAATTCCATTACTCAAACCATCAAATATCCAGCCATCTGAATCTAATTCTTTAACATTATCAATCAAATAATTATATTAAATAATTATTTAATCTACATATTCAGCATGTTATTGATAATTAATATCTGATTTAAATTTATCTTAAGCCAATTTTGCATATTAATAGGCCTTATTAATATATATATATATATATTTACTTAATCAATTTTTGTTTAATCAAATTCATATTTACTTCTATTAATTAATTCTGATAATTCATCTTATGCTATTTCAAAATATATCTTAGAAGGTGGTGATTAAATTAAGGATTATTCTTCTTTTGATTATTGTGTATAATTATTATTATTATCATAAAATTATATCTATTAATCTTAACAAATATCCACATTTAAAGTGAGCATCTAATTTTCAATTGGTTTTTATTATATTTACTCAGCCTTCTATGTAATAAATTCTCGACCAATTCTTGATGCTTTATAATTAATACTTAAGCTTCGAACTTCTTAAATTTAATTAGCTAAATATGAACTATCTTAATTACTTTCTTCATCAGCAATTCTAAACATAAATTCTTATACTTCCAGATTATTCATCATAATATTCATTAAATTCTTAATTTCTACTTTTTCTTCTACTGAACTATTTTTTTACTCTAACATGGTTGTTAATATTAAATTGATATCATTATATATATTTAGCTTCTCATTATCATTCAATGTACTTGATATTAATTCTGAAAACTAAATTGGATTTGTTCAAAATTCTTACAATTATTTTTAGATTTTCTAACTTTTCGTTTATCTATGTGATTTAGACTGTCTATTGAAGTTACTAATGAAAGTTATCAATTTTTTACATTAATATATTAATTTAATATATATATATATATATGAATAAGTTTGTTTATTATGTATGCTACTCGTAACACTCAAAAATCATAAAATGATCGATGAGCTGACTCTGAGCAATTGTTCTCTGCTAATTAGATATATAAATAAGTTATATAAACTCATTAATAAAAAACTAATCAGCCTTTTATTGTGTAATAACTTAATGTTCACAAATTAATTCAATTATTTTAATATTGTTTTAATATTGTAATCTTTATCATATAAATATTGATTTATTAATAATTATCATAACAAAAAATCAAGTTTACCCTTTAAAAATTATCTTTTATGAAAACATTATTAGTTTGATTTTTTTATTTCTTTTAAATGCTTTCTGAAATTATCTAAATCACTTTATAAATCATCCAGTTTTTATAAATTATTGTTATTTTTTTATACTAAATATTCTCTTTTTCTATTCATAGGACTGCCAATTTATTTATAAGATTAACTATTCTATAAATTTTTCTTTGGAATTGAAATTTATCTAGGTGTAAAATATTCACAATATTTTGTCTTCTGTTTAAAAGGATCTATAGCTTTTTCTGAATTTGAATACTATTAAATTAACTTTTTCATCTCTTCTGAAGAATTCTAAAATTACTCTTAAACTAATTCAGAATATTGTTCAAAGAGCTTCCTTAATTAACATTAAAATACTTGAGTGGACTCAAAGGCTTCTTAGTTGATTTTATCATTCTATATTCATTTATATGTTCATTTTTTGGACTTTATGAAATCTATTATGGAACCTCTAAATCATATGGTGTTTCTGGTTTGATTGACTCAATAAAGATTGGTTTTTCCATGTAACTTTCAAGTATCAAAGGATGACGCAAAGATTTAATTGCTTTCATTACTTATTATTCTTTAACTGTTCTTTCCCTGCTTTATTTCTCCCATTTCTTAATTTATTAACCAACTAGATTAGTGCTTTCTCCTATGAAATTTTTAATTTAAAAGGTAGGATCAATCTTCTAAAATTTAATTTATATGTTTTATAAGATCTGTTATTTTTGAAAACTTGTGGTCCTAGATCGATCAGTCATTTTTTGCTAAATAAAAAAATATATAACTTTGACTTTATTTAAATTAGTTGTTATTATTTAATTATTTATGACTAATCTAGTCTTATATATATTCTAAAAACAAGATTGGAATAACAATAAGGATTATTCAATCATAGTATAATATCATATATAAATAATTAATCCAATTGTAAAAATATTATAAATATTTCTACTTTTTATTAACTTAACTAATATCAAAATACTTTGAAACTATTCATATTAATTAGCATATAAAGTATATCCAGTGAATCTATTAATATATAAAACTTAAAAAGTAGATCTAAGAATTTAATATAAGTATATTTTTATTTAAATGGTTATGAAATAGATATCTAATTATTCGTAAATTATTGCATTTATTATAAATTATTCTGAAAATTAATTCCATTTGAAATTATATTCAACTTTCCAAATAAAATTATTGTAAACTTTTTATTTATGTATATACCCAAATAAAATTGAAAAAATATTATATTAATTTCATTTGCTTATTCAACTTATTATACAATTTAGCTTAAATAAAAACTAATGATTATAGAATTTAATATTAGTATTTTGAGTAAAATAATATTAATTTTGATTAAATGTTGAGTCCTGAATAAATATACTCCATTGTTTATAAAACAGATTCTGGAATTGAAGGATATGATATCCCTAGATTTTACCATGACCCTGCTGAAATGATGAGAAATCGAGATCTATTAAAACAAATAGAAAAAAGTAAGTTTCATTATGTTTAATGTATTTAGAATAAGCACATAAAAAACATGAAACTAAACGAGGAAGCTATTTAGATGATTATACAAAAATGTATAAAAGCTACCCAAGTCCTTTATAATATTAATCATACTCCATTCAAAAGATTCCAGAGAAAAAAGTTAAATATCCTAATCGATTGACTCTTTTTGAATAGTTATAAAAGGAATAAAAAAGAGCAAATAATCCACCAGTTGGAACTTATAATATCGAAAAAACTTAAGAACAAATAGAAAAAGAGCTCAAAGTATTAAAGACTAAAAAAATCAAAGAACTTTAAAGACCTGATACCTATGAGGATGCCATGGCTCATAGCATTATGATTCCTGGCCCTGGAAATTATAATCCACATGTGAGATATTCAACAATTATAAAAGTCATTTTTACCAAAAATCAAAGTAAATAATACAAAACCTGAGGATTGGAGAAAAAAACATAACAAAGATAACAATAAGAGCCTTCCTCAATTACCCCCTGTAGGAACTTACACACCTATAATAAGTGATTCTTTTGCAAAAATTTAAAGTTCTGCTCCTGCCAAACGAGCTTATTGGGGAGGTGAAAAAAGATTCAGAGGATTATTTGGAAGTTCCTCTATAGGTCCAGGTCCAGGAACTTATGCATAATTAAGCAAATTATTAGCAAAAGGAATTGAAAAGTCTATTTATTAAGATTGAAAGTTTTCACATAATTTTTTTCATTAATAAAATTAATAATTATTAAATAAGACTTGTAATTTGATACTTTAATATATTTATTTTTAAATATATTAAAATATGTTTCAAAGGATATTTTATATATGTAATAATGATAGGATAGGATATTAGATATTAAACAAAGAATTGAATAATTATTTACCATATATATTTAATCCAAGTTTAAAATAATTATATTTTTTGTTTTTCTTGTATTTTGAATAGTAATATGATTTATTAATTAACAACCAAATATTTCTGGATGAATAGATTTAATCTCTATAAGAATTTAAACAATTTATAAACAAATGAAGCTTCTTATGTTAATTTAAATAGTGGTTTGAGAAAAAATAATTTCTTTACTTAATTATTATAATTTCAACTAATTTGATAAATCTAATTTTTTAATAAAGTTGATTATTGATATGATTTTTTTATTTGGTATGCTTCTTTTATTTATTTGTCTGACAAGTGAAATGTACAAAATAATAATGCTTTACTTCAAAAGGTTTGACAAAAAAAAATATTATATTTTTTTTAATGAAATGAAAGAAAAATTTAAATATAACAAATTTACAATTTAAAAAATATTCACTGATATTTAAAAATTTTAAACATAAAATATTTGTGGTTTTAATATAATTTAGAGATACTGAATTTGACAAAAAGTATTGGCTATTATTTTTTCTTGATTTATGCATCATTTAAAATAAATAATCAATTTTTCTATATAATTTTTGTGAATAAATTTAATATTTGATTTTAGTATTTAATGATATTATTAAATGAAAATTAGATCATAAGAGAAAATATCTAATTGCTAAAAATAGCTTAATCACTTGATTTCATAACTGAGAATGAGCTCTATTTTACTTATATACTCCTTTTCTATCTTTTGTTTATCATTTATAATTCTTTTGGTTTGTTCAAATATATAATTGAATGTTGCAACAAATTAAGTACAAGAGATCTCAGAATAATTGTTGTCATTATAAAATAATAGGTATAAACATAAATAGACAATAGGGCCTTAAACATTCAGTCATAAGAAATAATATAAATCCTAAGCTTTATTTTTTATATGATAACCACAAAAATGTCTAAGTTGAATTCAATATATTATTGGTCTAGTTAAATTGATTTGAAGATAAATCAAGAAATTATGCCTTGTTAAGTTTCATAATTGTTCAATGAGAATATTTAAAAGTATTTTGCATGTTACTCTAATTCAGATTATTTTCAGTAAAGCAATATGGAAGATGTATAATTAGTTAAACTTATGAATCTGCTTTATATTAATGAATATACATTTGATTTTTTTATAGTTTCTCATTAAGTGTACTTGGTTTCATTTTTAGATAATCTATTGACTGGATATTATCCAACTAAATTAAAAAATGAATCATTAGAAATAATTTAGTAAGAATGGTTTATTAATTATATTACAGAACTTTAACAAAGCAAATAGTTTATACCTTATAAGCTTTCTCCACTAATAAGAATGGATAATTACGATTATTTATTGTCAGCATTCTCAATGGTTTTTGTTGATTCAAAATATAATGTAGGAGGAATAGGATCATTATTAATTAATCTTCGTAATATAGAAGAATTTGTTTATGTTAATAGTTTAAGTATTATTCTGGTTTATGATGATGGAATAATTTTGTATACAAAAAGCTACATCAATTAAGGTATTGCTAAAGATTTAGTTTATATTTATGATGAAGAAAAAACTGGATTTAATATCTCTGATTGGAATGATATCAAATATTCAATCAACAATTCTGCAACACCAGTTTATAAATATAACAGCTTACTTAAAAGCAACATGTATATTAAAGCCTCACAATAACCAAATACTCCATTAATATCATTAATGTATAATTTATATTTAATATAAAGTTTAACAAATTTAACATATGAGAATGAAATAATTAAAGTTCTTGATGATTAAATATCTATAGTCTTATCATGGTATACTTAGACAAATTTGTACACAATAATGATTGGAATTATTATAATCTTAGTTACATTAGTTCCATTAAAATTAATGTTTAAATCAACAAATATAGTTATAGATAAGATTATCAGATATTTAAAAGGAAAATTTGACTACAAATTAAAGTATGATTTAATGAGTGGAACTTAATTTCATTCAAATAATAATTCACTAAATTAACTTTAAATATCATATCAAAAATTAGATTAAGTTTTGAATTCATCTTAATTCAAAAAATCAGAATAATGTATAATTTTTGAAAAATTTCAATTTAAAAGATAAGAATAAATGAAACTAAATATATCATTGAATCAATTGAATGATTTTAATCAATCATTAAATTTAAAATAATTTAATCAACTTATAAAACATCAAATTGAAGAAAGCGAATGAAAAAGAATATTTATTGATTATTATAATTACAAATTTTCTATTTATTATAATCAATATTCTCATATATCTAGAATGTATTATTATTTAATTCTATTGATATTATGATCTGAATGTAAAATATGTCATCTTTATAGAAATACTATATGTATATATGAGTTATCAATTATAAAAATAAAAAATCCTACTTGTTAAAAGAAATCTGTTATAAATTTCAATATAAGCTGACAAAATAAATTAATCATTTTTGAAGTCATCCTCAATAAATTCAGACTATTATTAAACTAAGTTACTATAAAGAAGAGAATTACATTATTTCTATGATATATTACAATTTAGAATTGAAAAAATAGTTTTCATTAAAATATTAATTATTAACATTATATTTATGGACTCCAAATTAGAAAACAATGAAGTAGAAGAAAGAATAATTATTAGAAAGCCTCCTTGTAATTGCTCTATTTTACATAAAATTTACAATACAGGTTAATTTTATCATAAAATATTAGTGAATGCTGCATATAAAATAGGTTAATTAACATTCTAACAAGAAAATAGAAGTGATTAATTTTAAACTTGTGTTAAAAATACTAAAGAATGATAGAGTAATTTTATCTATAATACCTTATTTATATTATTGTCAATTTTTTAACATTAATATTTCAATACTATAATGTTAAATTATTTAATCATTAGTTTAAAATATAATTTAAGACTTTATAAATAATTATAATAATAGTTTATAACATTACTTAAGTGAAATTAATTATATATAGTCAATTTTCAGCAATTATAGCGCATTTAATGATGTCAATACATTTATGTTCAGTTTCAAAGTGATTAAATATTGCTAAGGCCTAAATATTATTCTATATTTACATCTAAATATTAAGAGACACCATTTAGTTCTTTTAGGGAACTCATATATATAATGTCATCTAAGACATCTTAAGCATCTGAAATTGTGTACTTATAAAAAATGTTCTATCTCACATGCTTACCAATTTATGAATATATAAAATTTGTTAAGTGTCCAACAATTGATTTTATTATACCTGAATGATAATAATCAAAAGTCTTTATTATTTAAGGATCTTAATTTATTAAACCTTAAACAATAACTTTTATTTCAACAGCATCAAATTAATTTAATCCAATTATCTCTTTGACACATCTAAGGTATTATTTATAAAGCCATTTGCAATGATTTCCATAATTGAAGAAGAATAAACCTTTAAGTGGATGTTTATTATCATCAAACCAACTCTTTAAGCTGGTTTCTGCTTAATCAATCATATTTTATGCTTTTTAGATCTAATTTAAAAACTAATATGATTCACATTAGATTAGATACATAATTGAAACATAAGGATGAACCATTTACTATTTTATAGGTAATATTTTTAAATATCCATCAATAGCTCTTTATGCACATTATGTTGCCCAATTATTTATTAATTTATAATTCAATCCAAATTTAGATGCTTAAAATACACTAAGTTAAAAATCCAAAATCTTTAATTTGTAATCAATTTCAGTCACATCTGCAACAATATTCAATTTTAAAGAAAAATATGCTGATTATTTCTTTTCTTCATTTGATATTTTCTATTTAATATCTTCAACTTAATTATTGGAATCATCAATAAGTTCTTCAATTAATTTAAAATCATCAGCAGCCTAAAGAAATTTAAAGTATTCAGCATATATCATCTAAAGATAAGAAATATGAACTCTATTTTATAATCCTAATTGCAATTAAAATAATAAATTAATCTTTGGTACTTTCTATTCTAAATTGATTAAAATTCGAAAATGATTCAAAATAGCTTCAGTTATAAATTCATTATTAAATAAATGTATATAATCTGAATCTATACTTTCATCCAATAAGTATTCATATTCAAGTATTTTTAATTATTTCAATGTCGCATTTATCGGGTATTCTTGATGCTAAGAATAGTAATTAATTTTACTAAGACATTGTTCACAATAGATATTATGATCTTCTCCTATTTTAGAAATGTATTTATGTATTGAAGAACTTTATGCGAGTATTTTAAGGCATTCTCAAAGTCAATCAAATGGATATAATATTTACATTAGAAATGAGCTAAAATAGCGTACATCAAAGTTCCCTCTTTGTAATCATTTAATTTAATTCTATATGTTAAATATGCTATTATACATATATTATTGTTTTGGTTCCATCTAACCAGTCATCGAAGTGACAACCTCTAAATAGCATTAATATAAATGCAAGTATCTAATTAAATTAGGTTAATGCTTCAACTATTCTATAGATTCACATAATATTTCTTATATTAAAAAATAATCCTAATTCATTAATATATTGAATAATAAGTATTAAGTATGAAATTTGGAATCATCAAAATATTTAAATTCATTTGTATATTCATATAAATATTTTTATGGGTAAGGAATATATTAAGTTGAATCTTTATAAAGACTTTCTACAATCTATAAATCTTTTTCAAATCCAGAATGAGTTCTATGGAAAATGTATGCTTATGATTGTAGTAGTCTAGATGTGAAACAATATATTAAATCTACAATATCTATTTATTATAAATAGAGGAAAGCATGTAATAATCCTAGAATTATTATAGATGGTTGTATATCATCTGTAATGTTTTCTTCTATCATCTATATTGTGTGTTTTAAACTAGAATGTTATTTAAGAGTACAATTCATAAATTAACAAAATATTTAATATTATTAATATTTAGGTAGGTTAGAATCTAACAAAAATTATCCTGCTTATTTATTATTTATTTAAGTACATTTAAGTATTTAACAATAAAATTTAGGTTTAGATTAAAATTTTTTAATCTATTTTACAGCATATATGGCAATATCAGATTCTTCTTAATCAAGATTTTCAATATGTTTAGGTGAATAAGAAAAACAAATAGACAAAAAGTAAAACATTTGTAATTCCTCTAAACATTATTAAAAAAACCAAGAATCTTTTTTTATTTTAAATTAATTATGAAATTCTTTTAAAAGTCTTATATATGAGATTTTGTTTGAAAATCTAATTTATTTAGATTAAATCTATCTAGGTATAGAATGGCTAATAGGTTAAAAGTTATCTAAATGCAATATTTATTAAATTAATTTAATTTGAACTAAACAATTATATGAATCTAAAGTTACAGGTATTTTACTATTAACTTTTGAGACTAATAATTTTCTGTTTTCTAATGTTTATTTTATATTAGAAAATATCAATATTTATCTTTTAATGATATCATCATCATTAGATTAAAATATATCTAATTATTTATTGTTGCTTATTTCCTACCATTTCATAGTATTGATAGATAAATATTTACCAATTTCACAATTCATTTCTTCCTATAAATCTTATTCAGAAATTTCTTCTTTTCTTAATAATTTTAATTGATTTTAATAATACTTAAATACAGGTTCATATACTCCATTTAATTCTTCAAAGTCATTGTAATAATATTAAAATTATTCATTTTTACTATCATATAGATTTATTAAATATAAATATTTTAAGTAAAGTAATTATGTGCAATATAATTTATCTCCATTAATCAAACAATTAGTTCTAGTTTCTGTATTTGCTGTTGCTATTTAGTCTTCTTCTAAAGGTGATGATTATTCCAGATTTATTAATCCAGGACTATGATCAAGAGGAACATCTAAGAATTAAGGAGATGGCTCTCTTAAAACTAATTTCTCTTAGTTTGATATTATTTCTACATATTAAATACCAGCCATTATATAATTTTAGTTAAAATAACAATCTATTGCTTAAATAGTTTAAAACTAATTTAGATATCTCTGCAATTGGGTCTGATATTGAACAATTACAAGTATATAGTCTTAATTCTTTCTTAATGTATTTATAAGATTCAATCTTTCAAATGAACTAATTGAGGATTGCTTTTCAGAAGTTTATTTCAACTTTCTTTTTAATATAATACATTATTCAATTTCTGATAGATTTTCTAATTTTACATTTAAACTTAATTATCTAAACATAACTCTGATTTATGCACTGCATCTTCTTAATCCATCTATTAATTAAGAAATTTCATTTTCAAATTCTTTTCTAAGTGCAAATAAAGCACAAATTTTAAAATAATATATTAATAATGTATCCAAAACTTTTTTTATTTCATTTGATCTCAAAATATATTGACTAAGATTCTTAGAAAATGAATTGATAAAATAAGGTAATAATTCTTAAGTAGTTTAATAATGTGTGATTCTAAGATATTCTTCTACCTCTTTGATTAATATTAGGCATTTATCAAATTACTTGATTCTAAGATGGAAATTTATTTAATGTTTCATATTTTCCATGTATATCTAATATGATTACTCTTTTTTCACAAAAGCTAACTAAAAGTCTATTTCCCAAAAAGATTTTTAATCCAACATCATATCCAGAACTTGATTTGGAGTTTTGTCAGCATGAATTATCTCCATTAAAAAGTATTTGAGTGGATGATCCAAATTCTATAAAGCTTATGCAAAATCCTCTATTGGTTATAAATAAATCATTTCAATAACTACTTAAACTAATTGCCATATTTAATTGTTGTTTTAATTAACTGAATTTAAAATCATATATTCATTTTAAACAAGTATATAATTGTATATTGAAACATTCATAATATGATGCTTTGTCATTATCTTTAAATTAGCAAACATAAATTATCTCAATTCATCTAATGTATAATATAATGCATATTTCTTTCTGAATTACAATACTTAATATAAACTTTTACACTCTGAACATTGATATAATGAAATGCAATATCCTTTGATAAAAAAGTCATCAATTTAATCAAGTATATTCAATTATTTAATGTAATTTTTACTTTCACCTAAATAAACTCCTAAATCATCATTATGATATTATTAAAATTTTAATTATTACCCATGTCTAACTTAAAAAAATTACATTAAATATTCTTTATCTTCTAAAATAACTATCCAAAGAATGTCATGTAAGTGTTTTTTCATTTTGATATTTGGAATTTAATTCATTTCATCAAGAAAATATTGTAGAGCATATTCTTCTACTTTCTGTTAATGCTATTCAAAAATATAAGTATCTTTAGCCTTATCAATAACATTTTTATAAACTTCAGATTTCAATGACTCCAAATAATATGTTTTTTGGATTGTTCTACTATTTGTAGATGAAAAAACATATTATTTTTTTTACCTAATTTAAATTATAAATTATAATATACTCATATTCTAATTTATTGAATAAATCAATAAATTGATTGAAATTGTATTGATGAATCGATGAATATTATACAATAGTTCCAAATTTCTTATGTATATCCGATTCAAATTGAATTTCCTCTAACTTTTTTGTAGCTTCATAATATTCTAATGCATATTATATAGATTGCTTTCTAAGAGTTTATTTTCGAAATCCTCTAAAAAACAATCCTTTGTATCTAAAAATTGATACTTTTCTACAATTTAACCAAGATCTCTTTTCAATATAATTTTGATATTTATAAACTAATTCATTATATTCTTTAACTTCTTCAGATGTAAGTGTATTTCCAAATTATTGAAATTATTTTCTAAATTTTAGTATAGCTTAATTTTTATAATATTCATGTTATTTGTCAAAACTCTTTTTCAAAATTTAATATCTTTTATAATCTAAATTGTGAAACAACTTTGATTTTCTTTAAATATAACTTTAAGCAATAAATAATCTATAATCACTCCAAAACATATTATAACTAGATAAAAGACTCAATTTAAAGAAAAATCTCCATATATTTGTTCTATCTAAAATGAGTTACTTTTCTCCCTTTTATGATGATTGAATTCTAAAAGCTCCATTAGTAGCTCTTTTGGAATAGTATTGAAATAAGAATTCATAATTTAATTTTGAAACCTATTTTATTTTTTTAATACAATCTTTCATTTTTGATTAAATCTTTTTTTTAACTATAGTTTCTTATCTAACAAAATCTTTGACAGGAACAATAAATTAATTACTTTATTAATCAAATGAATCTGCAAGTATTTTCCTTTGAGTATTTTAATTACTCTAAATAAAGTTTTACTATTATTATTATTCCTCATTTATAAGATTCAATTCATTCATCTTATTATTAAATAGTTCTTCTTCATATACTAATCTCTTCGAAATTTATTTACTATTTTTTGTGTAATAATCAGCAATCTCATCATCAGAACTAATAGTTTCGAAATTATCATAAGTATGACTAATAGATGATCCATATACTTTAAAAAGAGGACATCTTTACAATTTTTCTTTGTTATCTTTTTAGGATAATCTACTAAATTTTGATTTACTCTAAACATTGCTTTTAAAAATATATTAGCTTCTTTTTACAATTTAATCTAAAATAATAGGAGAATTTCCGAACATCGAATTAGTAAGGTATTTAATAAAAAAATTATAAAACAACAATGCCAAAAATAGTATGATAATTTAATCATGCAATTAATCATAATAATAAATGCAAATTAATCCAGAATTACATAGAAGTGTAATAAAATTGATTAACTAATAAAAATCATCCCAAATTCCTAAAGAACCATCTCCTTTTGGCCATGGTCTTTGAAACATAAAGATAAGTTTCAACTTAGAGATTTAAACTTATAAAATATTCCAAATCCAAAATAATGTGATACTAAATGGAAATAAACAACCAAATATATTAGTTAATGTTAATTACAAAAAGAAATCCATGTATTCATCAATATTCCCATATTTTTCAATACTTTTTTAAAATGGTATTCTTTTTTCTTAATTTTCTATGAAATCACATAAACTTTAATGATTATAAGGATATAATTTTTATGGTGATTTAACCATTTCATGAAAGAAAGTCTTTAAGAATCTTATCACTTACATCAAAAATATCCACATCATTGTTGTCCCAAAAAAATATTCAACATTATGTTAACAATTTTCTTCCTTACAATATAATTCTAAAGGAGAATTGAGAAAACTAATCATCAATAGGGGTATAAGTTAAGAGAAACAATAAAGTGTGTATTTTTTAATAATATAACTTGTTTCATATTGATAAGATGTCTAGAAATTCTCAAAATCTGTTAAAATAGTAGCAATTTACTCATAAAATTAATCTATTACTAATTAAATAATATAATTCAATGAAGCAGTCACTATTACTTCAAAATATTGAAATTCATTTCCTAAATCATCTAATTTAGTCTTCAAATATAAATTAAAGTAATATAAGCCTACAAATATTCCAATATCTGATCCAATTAAAAATATTAATATGAATACAGAAATAATCAATCTTTATATAAATTTAGAGTGTACAACTCCAATTGAATTTAGTTGATCATTTTCAATTGATCTTATATTTTAACCTTTAAATGATGTTCGTATAAGGCTTTCTTTTACATCTCTATTTTATCCAAATTTAAGATTAAAAGTTAATTATTATTAATACCAACAATCAGTTTAAAAAGAATTCCAATGTACTAATAAAATGGAAAACACAGACATAGTAGCTGTATAAACTTCATTATTTTATTCTTATGATGAATACAATAAAACACTAAATAACAATCCAAAAGCTGCCATAGGAGTTGAAAATTTAATGAAATATGATGTAAATTCAAAATATAATCCTACCTTCTCTCCAAAATACAAACAAATTTTTTCTATTGGACAATTCCATGGATGTAAATAATCTAGATTCCATTCACTTGCAATATCAAATAATTTTTTCTTATAAAATAACTTTTCTTCACTTACAGCTTTTTAAATACTTTTGCAAAAACCAAATAATTCATATTAATCATGTAAACAATAGATTGATTTGACAAATTATAAATTAATTAAAGTATTTAAATTAATTGTTTAAGTTATTACAGAAAATGCTAATTTCAATCTTTCATTATTTGAAAATAATGTAACTTAATTTTATTCATTTTTAATATATCTACACCATTTAAGTTAGTACTTTGCAATATTCTTTACAGATTCACCAACAAGATTAATCTTGAAAGGAACAAACAATTCAAATGGTTTTTAATGATATCTATCCCATATTGTTTTTAGATATTGATATGAACAATTTGCAACTTTAAGAGCTTCCTTAAAAATGTTCAAATAATTATGAGCCAACTATTATTACTTGACTAACTTGATAGTTTTTAACTTTGGAAGATCCTTTATCAAAGGCATACTATTTGATAAATCTATTAATTCTCTTACTTTTTCATACATTTAACTGATTTTTTCAGAAGCATCCTCACTTAATTCAGTAAATTGATTTATTTTATCTTTTCTATTGGTTCTAATTCCATAAATTTCTTCAACTGTTTTTTATTCATCTATACATAATGCTATATCACTATCTATTTAATTCTGATATCTTTAAATTTTAACATGCTTATTCAAATGAACTAAATATTTATAATAAGCTGTCCATTCTTCATCAGTAGGTCCATCCTAATCTCCATATAAATCAGACTTTCCATATTCAAATAATTCAATATTTAAACCACTTTACCCTACTTCTCTAGCTAATCTTTTAAAATTAATCTATTCTATCTAATCTATAATTAAAGGTCGTAAATATTCTAAATAAGGAGAATTATTATATTCATCTGGTCTCCATAATCTTCCATTCAATCTTAATGGACGAAATTATTTATCTACAGGCTCTAAAGATAGAAGATCAGTAAAACAAAAACTTAATCTCTTTGGTAATTAGAAGTTTTCAGCAGCAATTTCAAGCATCTTTTCAGACATATATAAACAAAGATAAATAGTGTATCCATCTTTGGATATGAATGATTTTACATTAAATCCCTTTCTAGAAAATTAAATTATAATTGCATTTCTAATAAGAGTCAATATATCTGAGGTTTCATTTCTAGTTCTATACCAAGATTATCCTTATTATTTTAAATATTCTCCTTGACTAAATGCTTTTTTTTAAACATAAACTAATTTCTACATATCAAGTTATAAACAATCAGCGATATTATTCAAACTGCCTTAATTATTTGAGATGTTATCTTTTAAATAATTTCTAAACTTTTTAACTAATTTAGTTAATTGATCTTCCTTTTTGTAAATAGGAAAATCAGATGTTCTATTCATTTAATTTATATTGTTATCCACAAGGATTAAAGAACGAGGACTTCTATCTGGGGATTTTTGAAATAATTATTAACCGGTTCCTAAAAAAACCAGAGTATTTCTTTGTTAGGGTTGATTAGATTCTAAACCTCTTGTCTTTAATTCAAATAACGAATATATTTTACGATCAGCTAAGTGAGTAAAGGCGTTTTCTATAGCTTTTATAAATAGTTTATCATGGATTGACTTATCATCAATCTAAAGAGACTTTACAATTTGTTCAAAAATTTCCAATTATTTTAAGTTATAATCGTATTCATCTGGAATCATATCTGGGTTTGGAAGACTTAGAAATTCATAAATAAAATTACATTATACCTAACAACTGCCTCTGGCAAATCAAATTCCTAAATTGCATTTTCATCCAATTATGTAATATTATTAAGAGAATAAAATCGTTTTTCTTCTGCCTATCCAATATCTTGACCAAGAAGCATTTTTAGATAAATTTCATATATTTGAACGTAATCTTCTATTTGCTCTATTTATTTTTATCTCCTTGTTTTATGTGTTATTTCAGGAATAAGTTAATGAAAATACTACACTGTGAGTTTCGAAGTAAATGCTTGTATTTTGCTGAATCTACTTTATCTTTAATTCATGAGATAATTAAAATTCAACTTATGAATTTTATTATTAGAATTATAAAACTTTTCCAACAAAGAATTTTCAATTTCTATACAGAGAATGAAAGCTACAAAAATTACAATTAAAATGTTATCTTTCTAATCAAAACCATTTTAAACGTCTAAATATATATTATAAAAATATTCTAAATTTATCATTAATTCTTGCTTAAACTATAAATAAATACAATTAATGTAACTATTTCAATCTCCACCTTCCGGTTCCAATTTTCTTAATCATTAAATCTTTATAATTGTATTTTAAAATCAAAGATAAGTTTAACTATGGTTAGCTTTTAAATTAAACATAAATGTATATGATTCATTAAGAGAATGCAAAAATGTACTTTTTTCATTGAATTAATATAGTTATCATTCAACTATTTTTGATATCAAAAAACTTATAATCAAATAATCAATATTTTATATAATCAAATTTTATTAAAGGGAATTTATAGCATTGATATTATATTAAATGATAAAATCAAAGTATTTGTTTCTCTTAATTTTACTGACTTTATAATTTATAGACTATGAAATAATTTAGGAAGAAATAAAGATTAAAAATTAATGAAATTTCATAGCATCGTTTTTCTTTAAAATTCTATATATTAAATTTTTCATAATCAATGTCTTCAAAATTTGACAAATTGAAATATTTAATCGAAAATATATACACTTGTTGATAATTATCATTTTGAATAAATAATTGTTCTTTATATAAAAATTTTCTGATTTCTTATTATTATTCAGCATTCTACATATTTTCTTAAACAAATATATGAATTTCTTATCGCAAATAACGATTAAATCTATTCTCTTATGATGCAATAATAATGAAATTAGATGACTATAAATGATTTGATTTTTGTTTATTCGAAATTCATGACAATTTTTAATTTCTTAAAATTATATATATAATTATGCAAAAAACTATTTCTACAAGTGATTAAGATTATAACATTGTAAAAGCTGAAAATCATTAAGATTCTGATGAAGAATTATAAGAAAAATAGGAGAAAAGCTCAAAATTAGTGATAGATGACGAAGAAGAATTGAAAGAAGTTCCCTTAGAATAAAATGAATAAAACAATACTAATATCAAACAAGAAGTTTAATAACATTAATAAGTGCAAAAATAATAAGCAATCTAACAGCAACCTAATGATTAACCAAAAAAGGTTGTTGCTTAAGTTTATCCTAAATTCATAGACTTTGATTATTAAGACATTAATATTAAATTCAAGCCTGAATGGAAAGATAAAAGAAAAAACCCTGAACCAAACAAATTTGAAAAGAAAACTGTAATAGAAATTAATGAGCCTGTGCTATACACTATGGATAAACAAAAACCAAAACATGGAAGATCCTTTTTTACTTCCTTATTTTCTACAGATTATAGATATATCTTTATCAATGGTGGATATATGTATATTTTACAATTAAAGAATGATAAAATGTTTGTAAAGAGTGTGAATTCTTTGTAGAGATTATTTAAAATAATACTTAAGGGAGATTAAATTTAGTTATGTTTAATCAATGCCAATCTAGATAAATCTAAACCCCCTAATGTATGATTGCAATATTATAAAATTAGATAAAATCATATCATTTCTTGAAAGGAAAAGAATAGAAAGAGAAATTATTAATGAGAGTAAGAGGAGAGATTAATAAATTAGGTTATGATTTTGATTTAATGAAATGAATTTTATCGATAAATTTATTTAATTAATTATAATCGTTATTTTTTTAAACATTCCCTTGTTTTATGAAAAAAAGAGACAGTATTTCTGAACCTCCTCTAGATAAATTAGATCAAATAAGATAAAAGTTTTCAAAATAATTAATAAAAGTAAATGCTAAAGGCTTTGTGACTTGTAGCATTGGAAAATCACCTTAAAATGATGGTGGATCAAGAATTTCATTTGGTAAAAGCTCATTTTTAGAAAAACTCTAATCAATCAATTCATTTGAAGATGATGAGAGAACTCTGCTAAAATCTATTTAATTTGATGTTTAATTAGCAATAAAAAGATATTAATAAAGAATTGAATAAATTGCATAATAGTAAGTAGAACGAAGTTCATTAAAATCTTGTTAATAAGATATTGTCCAATATCTAACAGCTCCTTAATAAGAGAAAAATGATATTTAATTTGATTCTTAAATATTAACAAAGAGATCTACATGTAAAAGTACAAAATAGAATACCTAAATTGAATCAAATACGAATAATAAATTAAAATAAAACAACAAAAATATTTTGGGGAATAAGAAATCTAATAAAACATTTAAAATAATAGCTGATAAATAAAATAAAGCTAAGCAGACAAAAAAATAAAGTAATTAATCTCTTACTGAAATAAGTCTGTTAAATAAAAAACAATCAATAAATAAAGATGGCACTCTTAGTTAAAAATCTGTTTCAACTCGTTAACCCAGTGTAAAGGAAATAGCAATAAATTTAGAATAAAGAAGATCTACAGGTATGACAATGAGAAACCAACCAAGATAATCAAGAAATTCAATCAATTCCTTTGATAATAAGTAACCAATAAAATCTAAAAAACAATTAGTTTTCTGACTTAAAGATTAAAATATATGGTTTGAATTCAAATATAAATATTAATTAATTATTTTAAATATTATTTATATTATAGTTATATATAAATTGATACTAATAAAAGTAAATCAATATTTTTATATTAATAATTAATAATCAATCTTGAACTAAGAGTTTAAGATATTAAATGTTATATTCAATATTTCTTGGGTAGTATTATTAAACTTCAAATTTAATAGCTTTAAAGTGCTAAAGTATCTTAGAAATGACGACTACACAAATAATAAATCCGAGAGTACATAGTAAGATAATTTTTGTATAGGTGCTAATTTAGTTAGTATTTTAATTAAACTATTCTCCAATTTTTATAGCCGAGTAGGTCACAAGTATTACAACGAGTGACATTAATAGAAATTCAAAAAATAAAGAAAATTTGAATTCTTTCCATTTTTTGAAATCAAAGTAAATGCAACCTTTGAGATGGTATTTTTATTTACATTGTTAGCAAGAGATTCTTTTCATTATACTGCCAGTTTAAATGTAATTTGTTGCACAACTTTAATGAGCATATGAACAAGGGCATATCTAAATTAAGTTTTTATCTTATGAACAAAAGTAACAATTTTTGTTTGAAAGTGACTACATAGATTGTTCATCATTATTTCTTAAAGTATTCAAACTTATTTAAAGATTATTTTGCTCATGTTCAGGGCTATTTTATTAGTAATTTGCATTGATTAATTCATCGTTGAAAATACTAAGCTATTAGTTTAATATCTTTTTTTTAATCATAGTAATTTATTCATCATGCTATTCTGAGAAAAGATTAAGTGATTTTTAAACTTAAAGGGATCTGTAGTTAGTCTCTTTTTTATGATCTTCTATTTCTATAGTTTTGGTAAGTTAGGGGGAATGGAGTCTGAGTTCTATAGTCATTAAAATAAATAATGAATTGTTTAAATGATGATTTTTTTGGATATAAAATCAGTCAGAGTGAAATTTGAACAAAAAAATTAGTTATAATTATATAAATAAATTATTTTAATAAAAGTTTTGGATTATGAAAGAAAAAAATAAATCAATAATTTTGTATAAATTATTATATTTGAATTGATGTCATTAAAAAAATTTTAAATAAAAAGATTTCCATATTTATGAAATCATTGTTATTCATTAGCTTGTTATTGGCTACATCTTTGTGTGCATTTTAAGAAGAAGATAATGTAATGGTGTTAACTACAGATACATTTTAAGATGCTATTGACACATTCAAATTCATTATGGTTGAATTTTATGCACCTTGGTGTGGACATTGGTAAATATAAATAATTTATTATTAAGCAAGAAATTGGCTCCTGAGTATTCTGCTGCAGCAGCTGAATTGAAAAGAATTGGAGGAGATGATTACGTGCCTTTAGCAAAAGTTGATGCTACAGTTGAATCATCAGTAGCTGAAAAATTCTCTATCTAAGGATATCCAACAATAAAATTCTTCATAAATGGTCAAGCAATTGATTTTGAAGGAGGAAGAACATCAAGTGAAATAGTAGCTTGGATTAATAAAAAATCAGGACCTCCCTCTACAGAATTAAATTCTGTCTAAGATTTGGAAAGATTCTTAGAGAGAGTATCAAGCACTCCAATTATTGTCTTCTTTGGAACATCATCAGATGACAATGATTTTGAAACATTCAAATAAGTTGCATAATCAAATGATAAAATTACATTTGCACACACATTTAATCCAGAATCAGCTGAGAAATACAGTGTGAGTGGTAAGATTGTGCTTTTCAAATCTTTTGATGAAAAGAGAAACAACTTTGATTAATCAGTGACTAAAGATAACTTAGAAAATTTCATAAATGTTTATGGAAATCCAATTATATTACCATTTAATGATAAGGCAATCAATATCATTTTCTAATAAAGAAATAATGCCGTCATTTTATTCACAGATGATTCAGATACAGGTGTAGCTGCTTTTAATGCCTTTGCTGCTGTTGCTGGTTCATTTAAAGATAGGTATTCATATCTTATAATTTTAGAATCAAATTTTCATTCTCCAAACCTAATGATGGATCTGGTTTATTCCATAGATTAGCTGAATATATTGGTGCCAGTACTACTAATATCCCTAATGTTATGTTGTATGACTAATTGGGAGGAAATGGTAAATACAGATTTGAAGGTGATATTACAACTGAATCATTAAGAACATTCTTAACAAACTTTTTTGATGGAACATTAACAAGATATATGAAATCTGAAGAAATACCAGCTACCAATGATGAACCTGTAAAAATTATTGTTGGCAAAAATTTCAGAGATTTGGTTATCAATAGTGATAAAGATGTTTTAATTGAATTCTATGCACCTTGGTGTGGTCATTGCAAATAATTGGCTCCAATTTATGATGGTTTAGCTAAGAAATTATTAGTTAATCCTAATATCATAATTGCAAAATGTGATGCTACTGCTAATGAAGTATTTTATATTATTATTTTTAGATTGAAGGAGTTAATATTGAATCATTCCCAACAATTAAATTCTGGAAGAATGGATAAAAGGATTAAATCATCGATTATAACAGTGGAAGAGATGAAGCCAACTTCATTTCTTTCTTAAAAGAAAACACTTCACATTAATGGGTTGATCTTGATAGAGTTGAAGAATTATGAGTGTATGTATTTTCATTTCATAAGTACAATTCCTATTTTTTATTATAATTTATGAATACAATTAATGAATATTAATTATAAATACCTGTTACGAAACAACTTGAATAAATTAATGAACAATCAAATATGGAAGGCAGTATTATATTAAGTAATGAGAGACTGAGTTAAAAATAAAAAAAATTAGAAATTAGAGTATTTGATATAATTTCTTTTAGTAAATAACTTCAAGTAGATTGATACCTATTAACAATGAAAAGTTACCAAGATTATCTCTAAGTAAATCTCCACCTTAATAACTTAAAACAATTAGAGCTATAACTGATTATCAAGCACCTTCTAAATTATAAACAATTAAATCTTTTAGGACAAATACAGAAAATGATGCAAATATTTATACTGATGATGAAAAAGGTAAACCTAAATTCAGAAGGGATGATAAAAAATCAAAAACTAGCAATTAGAAAACTGGAATTTATGAAAATCCTTAAAATAAAAAGTTTATTGAGTTTGCCGATTAAATTAGAAGACTCAAAGATTAATTAGATTCGTTATAAGTATATTTAATTTTATTAACTAAGAAATATTTGAATAATTCAAGGAAGTTATTCCTAGTTGTGAGGAATATTGTTGAAAAAAGAAAGAATCTAAGAAAAATTTTACTTAAGAATGGTAAAGATGAACTTATAGAATTTTCTGATATCGAAAAATATTGCAGTGTTAAAGAATTCATTAATATCAATGGAGAATAAAAACTAGTTGATAAATTAAATATCTCATTATTAGATGATATTATCTATGCCAACGAAGTATTAGAGAATTTGAAAATTTAAAATGAAATTCTAGATATAAAAGAAATGGCTGATTAAGTACTTTTTAATACAAATTATGATTATAATAGAAAAAAATTAAATAAGCAGGTTGAACAAAATATTAAAAATCAATTAAGAAGAAGACTTAAAATTATCTTTTACATCTATGGCTATGTCAAGATATAATTTGCATGAATAAATAGACATTTTCGAATAGAGATTAGGTCCCCTCTAGTCTATAAAAAAAAATTTAAAATAAACTTCTTAAGCGATTACAACTTTTGTAAAAATATTATGTGATAAATGATATATATTTTTTAATTTCTATTTAATTTTATTAACAGAATCAATATAAAATTATATTCATACTTGAATTATTGAAAAAAATTTAAATACTTTCATCTTCCTCTAACTTGGATGAAAGATGATGATGTTAAAGTGCAAAAATTCTAATGGAATTAAGCAAATTACATATTCTTGAAAACCTTGACTTCATTTTTACAATTCTTCTCTATTTAAATAATGTTATTGAATATTAGTTATATATGTAATTCATTCCTATCTATTTTCAGAATAAGACACTAATTTACTAAAAAATTTGAGCAACATGAGAGTGAACTAAATACATTTTTGACTTTCTATTCGGCTTTATAAGAAACTATATCAGATTATATTTGAGATCTAAATATTTATTCAATAATTAAGCTGTCATAAATCAAAAAATACTATAAATTTAACAATAATCTTATTAACCTAAAGACTGAGAGAAAAACTGAAATAACGGCTTTTCAAAAAGAAAAGTTCTAACTTAAATATTTGACATCCATAGATATTAAATCAAAAATAATTTTAAGAATTAAATCAAGAATCAGAAAATTGTAATGGTATCCCATATTTCAATTATATAAAATCAAAGTAAGAAAAGTATATGTTTACAATAAATTGATCCATAAGAAAAATAAAAATTACCTTACATTTTATCATCAACACACCATAAATTATTAACAATTAAACGCTTATTTTCTATTATTGTTAATGCTTGCAAAGTTGACTTAATTGAAGAATCAGTCAAATAAGAATTAATCATCTTAGAAATTGATATTTAAAGCTCTCGACACGAAATAAAAAACAAATTTTAGTTTATCTTTAAGAGAGTGAATATAAAATTTTAGATTATTGAAATTCTTGAAATATATTCATAACTATTAAATGATTACTTTCATTTATGATCAGTTTCTGGATTGAAAAATTTCAATTTATTTATTAGAATATATTTGGAAATAATTTGATAATATAGATTTGTATACTTTTTTCTATTAATGGATTTTAGTTAATATTTAATGACTCAACAGTTAATTAGATTAAATAAGGATTTAAATTAAAAACAAATTATAAGTTTCAAATTTTTGAGTATAAATAAAAACAATGCTCAAAATATTGATTTTATTTAATCAATTTTGAAATTGCTAAATCATTTTAATATAAAATAGATATTTTAAAGGTTTTACCAGACATACTAAATCAATAAAAATGTAATTTTGTTTATGATTATGAAAAACTTGTCTCAGGATGCTAATTAAAGAGAGCAGTTTTTTAATTAGAGATTTAGAAGCTTAATGAGGATAAGCTAATTATAACTTACTTATTTGAAATTTATCATGAAGAAAGTAAAAATTTAGAGATAAATTTATAAAAATTACTTCTTATTAAAAATAAAGCAAAAAAAAATAAACTCAAAAGTATTTTCCTAAATTTGCTGATTTTGAAAGAAGGAAAATGATACATTAGAATATTTTGATTTTGACACCTGATTTTTAGATCCAATAATATTGATTATTTACTACCCTCGTCAATGATTATTTTGATTTAAAAAATCGAGATTATCATTAAAAGATTTCTGATTGCAACAATAATTTTTGATCGACAATTTTCTAGATTTAATCAAATAATAAATTGCCGTTGCATTTCTTTTGATAGTAATAAATTTCAAAATATACTACATTACAAGATTCTATACATTATTCTTTTTAAATACATTCTACTTTCTTGAAGCTACCTTTATTTAAGAGAAAGATCAATTTATTTTAAACAATCCTGATAAATTATGTCTGACCTTTAGCCCTATAATCTTTATGTGAAACTTTCTGGATTTTTCCAAATTGTTCAAATTTATCTTGAATATTTAGTAGATCTCGAGAAAATTCGAATCATCTTAATTATAAAAAAGCTCCATCTGGAATAATTCTGAAATTTCATGTATTGGACTTCATTGTTAAGCAATTTTAGAAGATTATTATTTGACTTCAAATTCACTTTTTGTTTGAGAATTGTTTAAATTAAATTATTTTTTTTAACATAAAACTGATATATGTTTGTCATTTGTTATTAGAAGGATTGTTGACTGATTTGATTTTGTTTTATTTTTTCAGAAACTCTTTGATGTCGGCTTTTAATTAATTATATTCTTCTTTCATACTCATTATCATCCCAGTGGTCTCTTCTCTTTTATTATGAGAAATTGTTATTTTTTTTTTTAATTGGAGAAATTGCTAGTATTAGATTATAACAATTACTGGCTTCAATTCTGGATTGTTATTTATTTCATTCCAAAGTTTTTCAATTTTTTATTGTTTTCTCTGCTGTGCTTATTCTTTGTATGCTTTTGCATCACTACCAAATTATTGATTTTACATTATTAATATTAATTACAATTTTATTATGATTAATATATTTTATTAAAAGCAACATGAGAAAAGAATATAATATAACATTATACTCGATTATGATTATTTGAAAAAATACTTTTCGACATGCAATCAGCACATCATTTAATTAAAAAAATCATTAAATTATGGATAAAAAATATTAATCTCTTAGTTAATATATCATTTTATTATATAATTTAAGGGGATTTGGCTAATAAAATTGAAGAAGATAGATTTTTTATATATTATATATTGATGGAAAAATAAATCATAAGGTATTACATATTTAAGTTAAGCTAAATCTATTGAGAAAAAATAGAAAAATTTTGAAGCTGAATAAATATTAGCAATAATTGACATACAAATTTTGGTATAACTAATAACTTCTTATTCATTTTGAATATATATATATATTCTTAATTCAATAAAAATCTTATTAATATATTTTAATGCTACATAATATTTATGAAAGAATAATATTTGCATATACTTCGATTGATTAGAATTTAAGGCAGATGGCAGAAAAAGATCTGAATTAGCTTGAAGAATAGGATTCGAATTTTTGTTGTTATTTATTAGAATTGATATAGACCCACAAATAAAACAATTAGGTTAAATTTTTTACAATTATCCATTTAAAAAATGTAATTAAGCGTAAATGGAAGGCTTACAAATAGATGCTTGGTTGTGAAAAAAGATAAAGTATTTTCATAATTTTATTAAAGGCTATTTTGAAGAAAATCAGAGAAATCAAATCAAATAATAAGTATTATAAATTTATTGTTAAGAAGATGTTGGATAGCTCAAATAAGAAGTTCTACAAATTTTATTTGTAATATATAGAATTTATTATATAGGAATTATGCTCAAGTGATTACCCTTTTAAATATCCATTATTAATAAATTTCATAAACTAATAATTGGAATCAAATATTTAAGAAGAATAACAATTATCATTCTTAAAACAAATATTCAAAATTATGCCTAAAAATTAAATGAAAAATGACTAATATGATAGGTTATGGTAAAAAATTGCCTAATTATGGGTACAAGCTGATAATCTGAATACTTATTCATAACAATCTTTGGTGTTACTAGATAAAATGTTTACTAATTTTATATTGTCCTATAATTAAAATGTTTTCAAAGATGAAATTTCATAAATTTTTACTTCAATACTATAAAAAATAGCTAGATTATTACAAAGCCCCTAATAATAATAATATTAAAAGAATATCAATCATTTAATTTCCAAATGCTCTAAGTTTGTTGATATTTATTCTTTTTATATAACTTAAACCTTTCCTGATTTCTTGTAATTGTTAAGTGTAACAATAAATTCAGATAAAAAATTTATAATTAAAGGCGGTTTAGTGGCGTTTATTAGGTTTTTAAAACTATCATATTTATTTTAAACTGATGAATAATTTTAGTATTATTTGAAAAAAAAATCTGATTCAGAAAAATAACAATTCATGAAAGAGAAATAAATTATTGATTAAATTTTAAAATAATTTTTTGAGAAAGAGAGTTAAAATTTTATACAAAAATTTTTAACCTTTATAACATCATCAAATGATATCAGCATTGAAGAAATGATTGAATAGGAGGAAGAAAATGAATTCGAAAAGATTTTACATCCAAAAGATGCCGAAATTTTTAGTTTAGGATTAATTGCTGCAGAGTTGCTCATTATCAGAGCTCCAAATATTTGTATAAATTTACTTTAGGGATATATTGATTAGACAATATAGGCTTAATTTTAAATAAATGCAAACATTCTAGAAAGCTTATTGATCATTATTGGTTTAATTCCAAAAATATAATCAAAGCTAAAAATGTAATTTCAAATCTAATATCCTCCAATTATATAATATTTATAATCATCAAATCAAATTCATCATTAACGAAGACTTTCTATTTTATTAAATAGGCTAATTCTAATATTAGATTAAAATTAAATATTATCTACTCTTACATTAGCGGGAAATCTGCTATCTACTTCTCAAGATAGTATAATCTAATATCAATCATTATTGTGTATAAAATAAGTGGCAATCAAATATGATGGAAATTTATAATGGAGTTAAATTTTGGTTACTGTCTGCCCATATATAGTAAAGCTTCTTAAATGTTTACAAAGAACAAGCATTATTACTCCGTTGTTAGATTTACTTTCGAAACTAATTGAAAAATGTCAAAATGAATAATAAGAAGTTGTAGTAAACGCGATAGAAAATAGCGGCCTTTTATAATTAATGTAATCTAAATTTTAGGAAGCTGAGGAAAATCTATTGATAATTGATTAGGTTTGTTAGATGTTAAAAACTTTAATAGTTGCATATCCACTTGGAACTAAAATCTCACATATAGTTTAAATGGCTAGTGTACTTATTATAAACAATATAAATTCAAAATAAGCCTGCATTTTAGAGTTAGTATTATTGTTATTAAGAGAATACGAAGAATAATCATAAAATTTTCCTATTTCTTAATTAATAAGTATCCTTTAGTAAAACTTAGATAATTTATTATCTGATACCTCACCAATAAATTCTTGCATAATTTTATAAATTATTGAAGAATTATATTTATTGGGCATTTTTTCTATAAATGATTTTTCAAAACACATCCCTTACATGGAATCTAAATATACATTAAGAGACAAAAATGTCAAAAATTCTGTATTAGGTCTGACAACAACAATGATTTTGATGATGTTGAATAATAATAGATAAGATATAGCAATATTTTCAGGTTTAATTTAATAGATACTTAATGATTTAATAGAGCCAGAAATGAATGATAGGCTTGACAATAAATTTAGAATTGAAGTTTAAATTGTCAGCATACTTAACAGATTTATCATTTTGGCAAGAGATGATTACTTCTCTTTTGTTTAGTAAAATAACATCTCTTTTGAAAAATATTTTTAAAGTTGGATGAAAAAATCAGAAATATTAGAGTCTGAAAAATCTATGTAATTAAATATTATTATATCATAGAAAATTAAATATAATAGCATTTCTACTTATCATAGACTATGTATAACCAAATATATTTACTGCTTACATTACTTAAATTGCAACACAATATGGCAGATTTTCAAAAAAGCAATTAATATAAAAAGCAATTACAATTCTCTCACCCTGTTAAAGGCTTTCATAATATAGAGCAAGTAGCCGAAAAGAAAAGATAAGAAATACTCAAATGCATAATGAACACAATCTTCAACAATATTTTTAAAAAATAATTCAGGATTATATTCTTAAACATAATTTACAGTAAGACTTGACGATTATTTAAGCTTTATAAATTATTTCATGAAAGATTGATAACATCAATAAAAAAAGTTATATAAATTTCTAAACATATTCATTTATTCTTAATCAAGGGTAGTTAAAATAAAAATTCTTTTTTATTATTAATATAAATCTGTTATATTTTTTTATTATAATTCTTTTAATATTAGAAGAAAGTGGCAAAAATAATTTAAATTATTGAATATTTTCATCTGATTTACATTCTTCATTTTCTCTTTTATGTTATTTGATAATTTAATTTTGAGATTTTAGATATTAGTATTTTTTTTAATTATTTGTAAAATTTATCAATTAATATGTTTTCCTCATTTATTCTTGGTTTACTTACTTTTAGGAAAACAAAAAATTTTCACAAGAAATGTATCGACTAAGTTTCAAGGATAAAAAATTTAGTCCTGGATTTTTTGGCAAGAGATATCACACGTAGATAGGAATAACCTTAAAAAATTAGATTATTTATGAGTTAATCACTAACGTCGAGGAAATATTTCTACTTCTGTCAATAACTTTGCTTTTTAACAGTGCCTCAGAAATATAATGCTTATTCAATTTAGATTTTCTTTAAATGTGATTATATTGTGATAAATCAGTCTTTAAGTTTAATTAATGTTATCAAAATTAATAAATAATTATAGTGATTATTGATAGAGATAAATTAAGGGAAACTCAGTTATTGATATAATCAAAATTTCACAAAAACAAATAACGCAAAAGTATTTTTTATTAATATTTCAAATTGGATTAGTTGTAATATGAAAAATTTTGTTAAGTTCAAAATACTCCAAGAAGAGAAAAAATTAAATTACCATATTTCAAATTACATAAGAATCTCTACTAAATTATATTAAATAAATCAAATATCAAATCTGATTCCGTCTTCTCTATCTATATAATCCCAGATAACAGTCTATATGTCTTTTTTATTTATTTATGAAGTTTTTTTGTTTCTATAAATAAATTTAATCTCTACTTAGTTTCATGAAAATAAATAAAATTAGTATCGATATGCAATTTCAAGAGCTAAGAAAATATCTGAATTGCTTCAGTGTCTTTGCGGTCAAAAATAAATAATTTGACAAAATATTGATTTCTTTCTGCTATTTCAAAATACTCTTGATTTCTTTCGTCGAAAATTAAAAGAAATGGCAATTAATTTTTCAAAATATGCTGAATTTCTAAATTAGTTCCTGTGTAAATTAATGGTAATGCTTCCTGAATTAAATAATTCTCCATGCTTAAAAATTACATTTAAATCATACTCTTAAATATATCCTTTATATTTTTTAGGTTCTCCATTTTCTGGATATATAACTAATTTTGTTCCATCATCAATTTCAAATTAATCTCTTAATGTTGGAGACTTAGCCAGTACCATATAAAACAATGAGTATTTCATATTTACTTCTTTCATTTTCATTAAAATAAATGGATCGATAAACTCATTCTCTTAAGCAAAATAGACTAAGGCAACTTTATCTGCCAGAAATTCTGATAAAGAGTGAGCATCTTCTATGATGTGGACTAAGGGTCTTAAATTTTCTTTTAGCCATTAAGAAAGTTCTGCATATGATTTTTAACCTTCATAAACTTCTATATCTCCTTATCTGAAAAAAATGAGAGCAGGGAATTTATTTATTCCAAATCTTTTAGTAAATGAAGGCTGTTGAGTGCAATTTATTTTTCCAAATCCAAGCACCTTGTCTTTAAAATTGAAAGAAATTTGTTCGATCATTTTATCGACTTCATCACATTTCTGGCAATCGTACCCTTTAAAAAAATTTATCAATGAGTAAGGGTATTAATCTATAAATAATTCAAAGTTTTTCTAATTCAGTTCCTAAACAGATCCATAAGTCAGGAAAAATAAAAGTAAAAGATAGAATAACATAATTATTTTATATTAATTTCAAGCAATCCAAATGAATTTTCAAAAATACATTATTATTAGATTCTCTTTTATAATCACATATCATTTCTAAACAAGTAAAATTTCAAATGAACCATAAAATAATCTAGAGAGTCATATGCGATTATAAATTTGACCCTTAAACTAAATATCGAAATTTATTAATATATATGGGGCATCTAATTTCATTTTTCAAAATTTTATTTCTCAGGTCTATTGTGTACCAAACTTGTGTAACAGACAATTAAGGGGATTGCAGATATTAAGATTTTTCTAATTTTGGATCTAGTTCAACATTAGCTAGGTGTGGTTTGAATCCTAAAAATTTATTTATGGGACCGTATGGTTAAAAAACTAAAGTTATAAAGACAATGAATATTCATCCAAATAAATAATTGGAATTTTCTATTGGTATATGGATTTTTGATTCTTGGGATGTTGGAGAAGGTCTTTATATTTATGCAAATGATATCTAATTAGATAAAATATCATTTTCATCATGTGCAGAAATAACTAGTGGAACGATCTATTTAACCTTGTTTAGTATAAAATATCAATAATCGAAAGTGAGTTAACATAACAATACGATTGCAAGACAATCTAGACTCTGATCTTTAAGATGGTATAAATTGAATATTTTTTAGAATCATGGGGATTCAGAGACTTTATTATAAGACTTTCTATCCCTTGTGTTAACTTTTATAGTGAATGCAATTATACTGGAATTTTATGTTAAGGTGAATAATCAAAGAAGACAAACCGTATCCCATTTGAAATAAAATCGATTCTATTCGGTCCTAGCATTATCGTTAAAATAAAAGATCCTAACTACTTTGAAGGAGTATTATAAGAATTTAACTCTATATAACCTTGCTTGAATGGCTATAAAGTATTATAAAAATGATGAATCATTAGTTTCCAAAATACATCCTACCATCATGAAGAAAAATATGTGAAAATAAACTCAAAAAATCAAATAATTTATATCATTGAATATTTTTTAACATTTAAAAACTTTATGTGGTTTTTACGTGTGTATGATTTTTTGGTCAGATATAAGGTTAAATTATTATTTTTCTAAAATTATAATGCAGTTGATTAAAGCTAAAAGTTCTTTTTTGAAGTATTGGAAAAAAACCTCAAAATTAATTTATTTTATAAAATTAAAAAGAGTTTGGAAATATATATTTATATCTCTATATTAATTTTTCGTTAAAATCATCTTCAATGTAAAGTGTTAGATAATGTGACTCTTAAGTAAGCAAAATTATTACTCTAAATTTTTAATCCCTTCAATAACATTCTACTTCTTAATGATTAATCTATCTATCAGTTGCTTATAATGCTGAGTACCTTTTCTAAAACAATAAATAATAATCATTAACCAGAATAGAGTATTTTAGAAAAAATTATTCAAATAAATGTTTTAACAATTTATACGTTATTTTAATTATTTTTAAAAATTAGTTTGTTAAAATACTTGACTTATATTTTATTTTTGTGAACTGCAAACTAAAAAACTAAATATTATAACTAATATTAAATTAAACTTTTCATACGATCCTTTTAATACAAAATAAATTAATCTATCATAATATTCTAATTATTTAAAAAGAATGGTAATATGTTAATTTAATTTTCTTTAAATAATTATTTCACAATCTTCTATCTATTCAATGCATTAACATTAAAAATATTAAAATCTATTTGGTTAAATAAATTGTATAGCTATATAATTAAATCATCATTTAAAATAAATAATAAAGTATTGAGAGGAGGAGGAATAGATTTGAATTAAGACTTAAACTTGAAAAGAGATACTTTTGTTGAGTATATGTTAATTTCAAATTGAGCAAGAAATTTGGAAGTAATCTTTTATAAAGTTCAACAAATTTAGCTTTAAATAAAGTTACAATAACAGATATTAAATAATTTTTTATAATCTTTTTTCTAAAAATAACCTTTAGCTGTATCAACTTTGTAGAAATGAAGTCTACCAAATATTTTGAATGTAACAGAAACTAAAGTTCTAAAATTAAAGCCTTCCATAACAACATCTTTGTACATCTATTCTATAAGATCCAAATTAATCTCATCATGAAAAATTATTTTAACCATGATTCTAATCTTTCATCTTAATTAAATTATCCGAATAATTTCTAGCTCATTTTTCCACTAGGTTAGTCGAAAATTTGTAAATCACCTTGTAAATGATCAAAATTAATAGATTTTCTTAATTTTTTCAACTTTTCTATTTATTTCAAATGATGTTTATTTATTAATTCATCTTAAAAGTCATAACTTCTCAAATTAAATTTTTTTAATGCATCAATAACTATTTCAATAACAGCTTCAAATATTTATACTTTTTTAATTGAAAATTTAGATGATAATTATTCGAATAGTAAATGTGTTTGGTTATATATCTTAAAAAGTTAGAACATAGATGAAATGATATATTTCTACCAAATCATTTATCATATATCTTCAAAATAAGAATAAAAAGTGCAGTTAAATTAGAGATTAAATATTCTATATACTTTTTTTTCTTTAAATTTACCTAAACCTTTCTTTAAGTCTAAACATGTTTTTTTAACCTTTCATCATTAAACTTATTGTATATTAAATATTAGTAATTTTTCTTCATTACAAGCATAAGCATAAAGTGTTTGAAAATATGTTTTTCGAACCTTCAAAATACTTTGCTTTAGTTCGATTATAGAATTACTACCCCATTAAATAAATGCATTTCAAAATCAAGATTAGTTTCTCATTCATATTTGATAAGTATGTGGAGCTTATTAATATCTAAAATAGGCTTGGTAGATATTATTTTCTGTAAATTGACCATTCATAAAAAATATAAAGATTATCTTGTTTTTTCTAAATATAGATTGGATAAATTCGTTTATTATTGTTTAGAAGATTCTGGAGACAATAAATTTAAGATAATATGATTGTTTTGTTGTATAATTATTAAACTTTTCAATGAAGGGAAACAATTTCTGGCGCCATGCAAATGCCACAAGTATCACCTTATGCAAGTCTAATGTGGCCAGCTTCACCCCAAGCAGCTCCCCATGAATTTCTGACCTTCC